TTATTCTGCAAATCACACATCTGTCGCTCCACGTGGGAGCGCTCTAACAACAGTTTTTCTTTCTGTCGGTGGTGTTTCCGATATGCTATTAACAAAACCCATCCCCGTCTTCCCGAACACGCAATTTCTTTTCCTTTTTCGATAGATAACTTTTGGATAAATTTTAATACATCCAGCGGTTCAGCTTCTTTTAGCTGACTTTCCCACTGTTCACACGGTCCTCCGAACTTAGCCCACTCAAGAGCCAGTGAACTATAAGGAAGGTCTTCCCATCCAGGAATTTCAGATGGAGCCGATTCATTACGTTTAGGTTTAAAAAATGACATTTTGTTCTAATCCTGTCCGTGAGGCCAAATTTGTTTTGCCAGTCGACGGGGTTTAACACAAAGGACACAGACACCGAGCTAAAGAAATAGGCTTATTTTACTTTAGTTTAAAACAGCAGAAAGAATAAGCGAGGTAACGCACCTAGTCATTACTACATAAAGCTAAGTAATATATAGTATAACTAATATATAAGCGATATAATATACAGAAATATATATTACTTATATAAGTAGGATTAGGCATTATATATAAGCAACACACATCATCGGCAGCGCATTCTATATGCAATACATCGGCAACGATACATCAGCAGCGATACGTCGGCAGCGCATTCTATACTCCATACGTCGGCAGTGAATTCTATAGGCCATACGTCGGCAGCGCATTCTATAGGCCATACGGACCACGGACGGAAGAATTGGAAACAGCTTTTATGTCCATGAAGACTGCCTCGGTAAATGCTTCAGCTCTTGGGTTACCAGATTACAAAAAACCTTTTAAATTATACGTAACAGAGAACAGAGGAATTGCAAAGGGAGTATTAATTCAGAAGCACGGACCCTATGAACGTCCCGTAGCATATTATTCTGTCACCTTGGACCCAGTTATCAGAGGATCTCCGTACCGTCTGCGGTCTATCGCCGCAGCTGCCGAGCTGGTGGAAAAGGCAAAGAATATTGTGCTAGGCCATTATCTCATAGTCGCTGTTCCCCGTGAGGTTGAACTTTTACTAACTAAATATGCAGAAAAAGCACTTTCTGCACAAAGGACGCACAGATATCAAATTATCCTGTCGCTAACGGAGAATGTCAAGCTCGAGAGATCAAAGACTCTTAACCCTGCTACCTTACTCCCAGTGACTGAACCTGAAAGATCGCACGACTGCGTAGCTGTCTTGAAAACTATAAGTAAGACTAGAGAAGATTTGAGGGACACTCCGGTGGAACACCCTGACTCGAATCTCTTTACTGACGGATCTTCCTTTTATCTTCACGGTAAGAGATTTACGAGCTTTGCAATAGCTACCGAAAACTTTGTTCTCATCGCCGAACCCTCGCCACCGACGTTAGGAGCTCAAGCTGCAGAATTGATAGCACTAACCAAAGCGGCATCGTACGCTAAGAATAAACTAGTTAATATTTACACTGACTCGAAGTACGCCTACGGCATTTGTCACGCAGTCGGTGCATTGTGGAAAGAAAGAGGCTTTCTAACATCTGCAGGTAAAACCATTGCACAGGGGTCTTTGATTAATGACTTATTGTCGGCGATACAAGAGCCGAAGGAAGTTGCGGTAATTTATATACCCGCTCCTACGAAGCGCACCGATCAGCTTGCAACAGGTAATTTTCTTGCAGATGCCGCAGCACGAGCCGCCGCTACTAAAAATTACCCCACGACTGAAGTCGCGGTTGCTAATTTCTTTTCTATCCCAAACCCCGATAGCATTTATCGCAATGTCCCGACCACCGAAATGGAAGAACGGAAGAAGACGCAAGCCGTGCAAGATAAAGGGACCTGGACCCTGAACGGTAAACCTCTATTGCCCGGAAGGTATGTGCTGCCGCTTGCGCGTCGGTATCATGAGAAGGGGCACGGAGGTCCCGAAGCAGTAGCCTCAAAGGTAACCCAGCTACGGGCAGCACCAGGAATCTTTTCAGCAGCTAAGAAACTGACCGAAGGATGTTCTTTGTGTAAGAGATATGGAGATATAAGGCCAAAAGTAACGCCAGGGAAGAGGCCGCCAGCAGTCTATCCTTTTCAGAAACTTCAGATTGATTTTGCGGAAATGCCAGCCGCTCTCGGATATAAATATTTGCTGGTAATAGTAGATCAACTCTCCGGGTGGGTAGAAGCTTTCCCTACCCAGAAGAACGATTCAAAAATAGTTGTAAAAATCTCGCTTAAGGAAATCATTCCTCGATACGGCGTACCTGAGGTGATAGACTCTGACCGTGGACCGCATTTTACAGCGGCTATTTTATTACAAGTTTATGTAACCCTAGACATCAAAGGACAGTTTCATACTCCGTATCACCCACCTCCATCAGGGCAAGTAGAAAGAATGAATAGAACAATTAAGGAGAAATTAGCGAAAGTATGCAGCGAAACTGGACTAAAGCGGCCAGAGGCATTAAATTTAGTTTTATGGGATCTTAGAACTACTCCAAAGCAGCCGCTAGGAATTAGCCCAGCAGAGGTCCTATTTGGACGAACTTTAGCTGTACCCGGTTCGTATATTTCAGCAAAAACTGCACTACTGGATGGAGATGAGAACGTCACTCAATATTTATTATATTTACAAGATTCCTTTCAGAAAATTAGAAAATATGTATATTGGTACCAAGGTGTGACACCAGAAGTACAGGTTCACGATTATAAGGTGGGAGATGAAGCGTCGGTAAAAACATTTAAACGGAAGAATCAGATGTTGCCAAAATGGGAAGTAAGCCATACGATGCAAGTTGCGCAACGAGACAATGTATCACGGGGCGTTAGTGATTTATGGCAATGGGCTACTTCTTGGATTCCTGATTTTCCAACTTTAATCAAGAAGATTCTAACGGTAGTTGTTTTAGTCATAATCATTTTGATCACGGTAACGTTTGCGTGTCAGCGTTGCGTCTCGCGTTTATCTCGAAGTCCCACCATACCCTATCGTATTCGATAGGATAGCGAGTATCCTAAAAGAAAATGGGGGCCCGTTGGGAAAACGTTTCAATGCAGTGCTGCTGCACAAGGTGTTCTATCGGCTCTGTCCCTTGTATAGCCCCAGCCCAGGGCTGCAAGCGCAGTCAACCGAATAGAGCATCGATAAAATGTTGTAACAAAGGTAACGATGGGCCTGACAGTTCAAAGGATGTTGATGTATGAGAAACTGACCTCTAGCTACCGAAGCGATGGGAGATCTATCATTGTGATCGCTAAGAACCGATACGTACAGAACTGGAGGTAATTGTCCTTGAAGACTAAAGAAAGAAGAAACAAAACAACGAAGCGGTCGGACTCCAGAACAAGATGTGAAACCCACTGTCAAGATAATAATGACCGATAAAGTATATTTCTGTGTATTTTGGATTAGGTAATGCTTTGTAGGTGCATAAATACACGTATGCAAACTCACGTAAGCTGTCACTCTCTGTGGAGGTGACCCAACGCCGCTGGACCTGAATAAAATCTAGAGTAACCCACGACAGAGTTCGAGTCTCCTTTAACAGCCACTTCTCTCGATCTTCTAAAACGTACAGCGGCCACCAACGATTACAATAGTCAATTAATTGTTTCCCAGATAAGGGGTTCGCTTCCCACGTCCCTCCAATATTTTAATATACATTCCAGAGGTGAATTTTTGAAAAGACCGCTCTCAGACCCTTAGACCTGTCAGGAACCCACATTAAACAAAATAAACAATTACGTACACAAAACTATGACACCGCCTAACAGACTAAACAAGGCTGTTATACAAGATAATAATTAGACATGTACAATGGCCAATGCCCCGCGATACCCTAGCCTGCATCTTACGCGCAATCGAGGCTTTCTTCTGACCCCAGGCGACACTCCAGGCACGTCACCAGTAATAACGTGTAATCTCGCCTTTCTTCCCGGGTTTCCCTTAATAGCAGAGTCCTGTGGGAATTTCTTGCGTCCAGTCTTACGGACAGGCTTTTCCAGTCTGTGTTACCATTGGTAATGCCTGAAAAAAAACACAAACAAACCAACCAACCAAAACAACCAAAAAAAAAACCCCACCAGGGCTCTTACTCCAAACTCACCGGATCAGGGGATCAGAGGATCTCCCCGAAAAACCACTTAGGCGATGCCAGTCTTCACCATCCCGTGGGTTCGTCAAGTTTCCGAGGCAGCATCCCATCCGGGTCGCCGAAATTCTCTACTGAAATCAGGAACGAAACCTCCTTAACTCCAGGTTTAGCGTTAACGCATGGGGATTACTTTATCCGGCTGGGTACGCGAGGGAATCGTTCTGCCTAACTCGCCTGTCGTACATAACCATAGCCAAAGCTCACATCATCCCGTTATGTGCCTATTCATTAACTCATTATCGTCGTTATATTACTATTATCCTGTGCGATTTAGGTCCCTGAGGGGCTTCCACGGAGGTCCTCGGCAGGTCTATAGCAGTTTCTGGAGAGGATCCTTTCTCGAACTTTGTCTAGGTTTTAGAATGGGCCTTTCTTCGGTTTACATCTGCGCTTTCTTACATCCGCCTGCCTTCAGATAGTTTGTTCTTTTTCAGAGGGCCTTGACATTGAAGGACAAGGGCTTCCGATTAGGAGTCTCTCAATGAGACACGGAGCCTCTCCACATACGCGTTTCCGGGGAGGCGTTTATCACGCTCACCTAGCCGATGGATCTCCGTGTGACAGATGACACGTCATAGGCGTTTGACCGATCGCTTAAGTTTTTACGCTACGCTAAGCAATTATTTTTGCTCGGCCATTTTGCAACAGCGGTGTTTCGGTTTGCCATCGGTATTTTTTAATTCTTTCGTCTCTTCATCCCTGGGCTTTTACAATTGGCTAGTATCTCGGTCACCGCATTTGTTTTTAAATTATTTTGTCTCAGTTTTCCCCGTTGCTGACCTCTTAAATTTTATTTCTACATCTCCCCTGTAATTTGCCATCAATATTTCTTATTTATTTCATTATTTCTTTATTAACCATCGCTTTTAATGTACCCTGTCTACCTGTATTCCATTCGCGTTTTTTTCAAATTATTTTTTGTCCTTTGTTTGTCTCCACACCCACGTTCCCTCCGCTCCCCGGAGCCCTCTCATTCTCGTCATGATGTCTTTCGAGACAATCCTCGTATCTGACAGCACCGTTTGAGCTCCACGGCTCTCCGCGTACATCTCTTACGCGGACAGATCCCTTCCTCGGGCTTTGTCCACACCCCAGAGCTGTCTTACTTAATCACCGCCATTTCGGATGCATCCGTTTGGTTGATTGTCCCCCGAGAACCTCCGTACGTCGCGGGGATGCCTTCTCGAGTTAAGCATCCTGTGCGAGAGCCGTCTTTTATGTTTGACTCTTCTCCCGATGTCAGCGTGCCTCCCGAGGCCATGCTCGTGCTCCGCTGCCCTTTATCGGCTCTGCTGTCAAAGTACCGAGGCCTGAACGACAGGTCTCGAGCCAAAGTCACCCTCTGGACGAATCTCACGACCAAACGTGTTATATACTGACTGTATCCAATCGTTACTGACATACGTAGCTTGGATAGAACATCTCATTATTGAGATATGTAACTTAGATAAAACAGTACAGGAATATACCGACATTTCCTAGTTTAGGAGCCAATTATTGAGGTTGATTACGCAAACTCCCTCGGTTCCTCTTATGTTGACATTTCCTCGTTTAGAAGCCCATTATCGAGGTCGAATTCCTCGGTTTGTCCTCAAGCCTCGGCCAGGCTCGGGAAAGAATCTCAAAGGAGGACGACGAGTCGACTCAATCCACCCGATGTCTTGCGTGCATTTTGTCAATTCTACACATTTACAGATTTGTTCGTTAACCCATCTAAAACCGGAACCCTCGCACAGCAGACGGAGACCTCGTCCATGAGCGGACGCACCATGTAGGACTCACCAGTTGCCGGGAAAGTCTCTCCGATCCTTCGTCGTGACGGGGCTCCCCGGCTGAAGCACGGATCCAGGCGATGGTTAAGCACCAGGACGATCGGCGATGTATCTTTCTTAATTGCTACGACTCACCTGGTATAGTAAGGACTGGACAAATCGCCTTATTTTTTAAAGCACCTCGTTTCTTACCTATCGCTTATTACCTTGAGACAGCCAGCAAAATAAGCCTATCTCTTTAGCTCAGCTTTTGCGCCCTTTGCTTTAACCCCATTGATCGGCAAAACGGTGGCGCGCTTTGTGCCCTCCGTGTGCCAAGAGGACCTTTCTGGACGCTATAGTTTGTCTGCAGAAAGTTCACTTCTTCCTCTACAGTAGCTAGGAGGCGTCTGTTCCATCCCCGGTGCTCAGAGAGCACACGTAGTCCATTCAGATCCCCTCCAGACTTCCCAGAGGAGGGATTCTCGTAGGATCTACCCCCACTTTCTCATTCAGTTTCATCCACAGCATAATTCCAGTAGAAGCTAGCTCGCGTGCGGAGTCTCGGTAGAAACGAAGCGTAACCCTATAGCATTTTGGTTGTTTTCTTGGAAACTAAAGCACATCGTTGTCGATAAGAGTATCACTATTGCCTTTATTCAACTCTTTTGTTACAGAGCCTAATCAAATACCCATCTTTTTCTACGTATACCCTGGAAAAATTAAGCAGAACTCCCTACCGGGTCGCATCGCCGACACAACAGGCCCAGTAAAAGAGCGGGTATCGTCATTTCTGGTACAAGTCGCTTTCTCCACAGAGTGCTACGCGTGTTATAAACTTTAGGTAGAGGAGAAAAATCCCCTCTGCTCCTCTGGCTGACTTTATACCTGCTGGGGGTTGGCCCCTGCCCCTTTCCCAGGGGATTGTGGGCAGGCTGGTGGGTGGGGCCCGGGGTATATAAAGCCCCAGCCGCTCGACAGGAAGCTCATTCCGCTCCTGGGTTTCTTAGGAGTCAGGGATCTCTCAGTTCTGCAGTCAGGAGCAGCTTTTGAGCCATTTAAGCTTATGAGACAGATGTGTTTTGATGTCTCGAGGGACAGAGTCATCTGAGGTAAGATTTTCTGGACCGGTCAAGGTTCAGGCAACATATGTAGTAGATAGAATGTTTATATGTAGCTTGGTTTTTTGTTTTTTTTTTTTTTTTTTGTTTTTTTTTACTTTAGATTAGTTATTTTGTTTGGGAGGGTAAGAAAGTTTAATAAAGCGTATTGTATAATTTAATTTCTAGGAAGAAGCACGGATCCTTCATCAGCAATTGAGGAGAAGAGGATTTTGTACGGTTTTGAGATGGGGTGAGAGGAAATCTATTGTTGTTTCTGATGAGGAGGGTGTGGCAGATGAGGTGCACATCAATAGGTAAGGTCCTTACGGCTCACCGTGTTTTTATGCAGATGGCAAAGAGGAACCTAGCAACTGTCTGAATAACCCGGTTACTCAGCGCGTTGTTTTTTCAACAATGGATTCAGACTCCCAGCACCGTAAAAGATAAGTCGAGGGACCGGTGCTTGGGAGAATGCTCTGGGGGGCAGCCCAAGGTTGGGAATTGCAGGGAGAAGTTTTAAAGTTAATTTACGGGAGAGGGCCGTCCAGGAACGGTGCTCTTTGGGCAGCTGAAGCGGGGGTGGAAGGGGTTCCTTTTCAGCATGAGGTTAGCACGTGCCAGGCAGCACAGTTCCGACCTGTGTCTGTTGTCATGTAGTGTGTGTTGTCTGTCTCGTGTGTCTTTAGACCTTTCTTGGGTCTCGATGTCGTCGTGGCTCTTTGAGCTCAAGGAGCACAGTAGTTGCCTCGGACATCTTCCCTTGGGCCCGGAACACCCATCCTCATCGGCACAGTGCCAACCAGGCAGTTCTTGTTTTTGCTGTACTAGCCTAAAGTGTGGCTAGGTCTCAGAAGTTTCTAGTCAGGCTGCGTTTGCAATGTCGTTCCGGGCTGCATTAGCATCTCTTACGTACAGCGATCCATTTTCACAAATATCTTTTCTGGGAGATCTTTCCAGCATCTTGACGTTCTTAGGTCTTGAAGCAATGTTACTTGTGCGTGCCTTACCCCTGTGGAGGCTATAAGGTTTTCTCTCAGGCCATAACACTTGACTCTTCTCAGCCTGCCGCTCATTCTTCCTCACGGCCCTGTAGGTCTTCTTGTCTGAGAGCATCTCCGATCTGAGTCTTTCCTCTTAAAGAGCTTATTTTATGTCTCTCATCTTGTCTGTGTGCCGTGTCGGTCTGTGCATGTTTGTTTGTGTCGGAGCTGCTCTGCCTGGGCATCTTGGCAAGTGCTGCTACTTGTTTTTTTGCAGGTGACACACGTAGCCTCAGAAGGGTGAAGGAGCATGCCGCTGAGCAATCTGAGAAGGTGAGGCGGTCATCAGCCAGGTCCGAGCCTAATAGTGCAGTCTTATATGGCCACTCGGTTAAGTGAAGAGGGTCCCAATACGGAGAGTGGCCCGAGTAACGACAATCACCCTGATGCGACTACATGTCGTCCCACTTTATTGCCCGAATCTCTTTGTTATATACTTTGCAAAGCAAGCACCCACCGTTCACGCGCCCCATACCCCTTGATTATTGGTCATAAGCAACTTATCACGCACCCAAAGGGAAACTGTGATCGGCAAGCATCTTGCGGTTTGCTGCATACTTGTGCTTAGCTTAGCCAGATACATAGCTGAGAAAATTCCTCGTTAACAGATACAGTTCCTCACAACACAGCCCTTCAAGGTCATTCTCATAACACAGCTGTTGTTAGCAGTCTGATCTCAGGCCTGGATTGTCCAAACCTTGCAACAAAATATCGTGGCCATTCTCTGTCAGAAATTCTACTACAGTTAAGCATTTACCTTGGTTTTGCAGGTGCCAAGTGAGCCACCTTTGGGATCATCTGAGCATCCGAAAGCAGCCGGGGTAGTAGCAAGGACGAGCACGGAGTCGGTGACTTCTCACAAGCACAACGGTAAATTTGTCTCTCGGTAAGTAAGGTAACGAAAGCTACAACGGCTGCGGCATCTGAATCCAAAAGGAGCAGGTGAGCGGAACACCGCAATGCTTCTGAGGATGGGGGGGTGTTGCGGATAGAGGTAAGCGGGGAGCAGCGTGATACTGACCAGCAGTTGAGCTCTTCAGTGCTTTTTTGCAGGCGATAAAGGAATCTGGCCACCGCAGGAACGTGCTAGTTAGCTGCTGTGCTGTTTTTTGTTGAGGATGGAATCGGACCTCTGGCCCTCTGAAAGCTAAGTCGAGGGAACAGGGCCGAGAGGAGGGGGACGAGGTTGGGAATTGCAGGGAAGTGTTTGAAAGTTAGGATAGGGGAGAAGGCTGTACAGGAGCGGGGCCCTACGGTCAGGTAAAGGGAACGGGTTACTTTTCCCCTCGATGTTCGTGTGTCCCTGGGCAGGGCAGTTCCAGCCTCTGCGTGTGTCAACGTGTAGTTTTGTTTCTTCTGTCTGCCGTGTCTTTGCCCTTCCTCGGCTCTAAATGTCCTCGCATCTCTTTGAGCTCGAGGAGCACGGCACGTGCCTGAGGCGCCATCCGTAGGGTATCGAACGCCCATCTTCATCGGCACGCTGCCGATCGGGTGCTTTTTATTCTTGCGTTATAAGCTTGAAGCGTGGGTAGGTCTTGGAAGTTTCCGGTCGGGAGTCTTTTGCGCAGCATCGTCGCAGGCTCTGGCGTCAGCTCTGCTATTTAGGCGTCCGTTGTTCCTGCCGGTGACTTCTTTCCCGTATCCTGACGTTCTTAGGTCTGGAAGCCCATCTTCTCGCATACCCATCGTCTCCGTTTTGACGGTAGCTTCTCGTAAGGGGCCGTTCCACTTGGTGCTTCTTGCGGGCTGCCATATAGCCTCCTCGCGTCACCATCGTGGCCCTCCGAGTCTTCTCGCCTTATGGCATAGCCTTCTGGGTGTCCTTATCGCTTACTGTTCAGTCATCTTTGAATCGTGTCATTTGTAGTATTTTGTGTGTGTCTGTGTGGCTTGGAGCTGCTCTGCCTGGGGGTGTGGAGTCTCAGGGATAGGTGGAACAGAGTTCACGGGCATACTGTATGGGTTTGTTTTAAATAAGAAAACAAATCCTCCAACTGGGCGACGTCTTTGTCTCCCCGGTGGGGTTTATTTTCACCCGGTCGCAGATGCTCTCTGAGGGTGACGGTCACAGTCAGCGTCTGGGTGAAGGTCAGGTTTGGGCCGGGATTTCCTCAGGCTAGGCGCTCGAGTCCCCCAGGAACAGTATTCAGGGGGTGACTGCCCGTCGTGACGGTTGGGCGGAAGGGTGGGCCGGTGGAGAGCGGGGGTTGGTTTTGGCGGTAGGTGGAATAGCGGCATGTTTAGAATGTGTCTAGCTGTGTAAGAGCGTTTGTCGTCTCTTTTCTTGCAGGATGTAGGCGGGGCTCAATTTGACTACGTAGACTGGATTTAATGAAAACTTCTGTCAGGGGAATAAACTTCTGTTTTCCCTGTCTCCTGGCTGGGTAGTCTTTCCCTGGTCCCGGCCGGTGTGCAGTGCAAGGATCGTTATCTGGATTTGGGTGCAGGTCAGGCTCAGGCTGGAGTTTTTTCGGGCAGGATGATTTTTTGAGGCCCCCGTACCTGGTGTTTCTGAGGATCACGGAGGGTGATGGCTTGTGGCGGTTTTGGTGGTAGGGTGGCCAAGGGGAGAGCGGGTGGTGGTTTGAGTGGTAGCTGGCTGTGTGGCGTTTAAAATGTGTGTAGCAGTGCCTGAATGGTTGATGTTTTGTTTTTTCCTTACGGGCTGTAGGTTGTGTAGCTTTGTTTAGAGGCAGTAGACAGACAAAATAGAAATTAAAAAAAAAAAAAAAAAAAAAACCAACAAAACAAAAAACAAAGAAAAAAAAAAAACACACAAAACCAAAATCCAAAAAACCCAAAACAGCTGGGGGACAAAAAATTTTTTCTTTTCCTGTCCCCTGGCTGGGTTTTTACCCCCCGGTCCCGGCCGGTCTGCGAGGCGACTGTTGTCGCCTATGTTTGGGCGCAGGTCTGTCTCAGGCTGGCGTTTTTAAGGCAGTGAAACAAAAAAGGGCCAAACAATCGGCCTCAAACCAAGGTTGACTTCTGAGTGAATCCCCCGACCAGCAACCAGCATCTTATCAGCAGCATGAAGCAACCAGCATCTTATCAGCGTGAAAATGCAACCCTGGGAACGAGCCCTGGAAACAATCAGTAAACGACAGGAAGTAACTATAAATTCCAAATGTACAGAAAAATAGTAACTCCTCAGACATGCCCGGATCCTGGCCAGATCTGGACGTGCCCGAGTGAGGTATATCAACCTCCCAGATATCTCCTGTGCTCTGTAGGAGTAAATTGCATTCATGTGTGTCTTGAAAATTTAAACTCTGAGTGAAGACGATGTAGTATCAAAGTGATTAATAACTGAAAGGTACCACACAAATTCAGGTGGAGGATTAAATGCTGGGAAATGAGCTCTGATTCTGACTAGCTTGCTCTACAACCTTAAGAATACTAGAACATAGCTAACTTGAAAAGAGAGTGTTAAGGCTTTTCTGGGTATTACAGCCACCACTGAGCTTTTCTAATATTTGTGGGTTTAGTAGTTGTATTTTAAATTTATTTATATTTTATATATCTATGAGACATTTGAGAGGAAGCTGTAATAAAAACACCCAAAATGCTGGTTAGATTTTTTTTTTTTTCTGTTCTTTGATAATTCTAAAATTACTGCTTATCAGAACAGCATAAAAGAGACAGGTTTCCCATTGTATGAGGAAAAAATGAAATTTGATGTCTGTTTCTAACTTAGCTGTTTCATTTCCATCATTGGCAATGGAAAGCTGTTACAAGAATTACATTGATGGTACAAAGCACCATAAAGGACATGCCTTCAAAATCCCTACAATAATAATAGTATTATAAACACAAATAGGTCATAAAGCAAAAGTAAACATGATATAAAGATGGCTAATGTGTCAGAGCTGGGAATAATCAAAGGGAAACCTTGAGCTGTAAGAAAACTACCTGGTAAAAGGAAGTGTAAAATTTCAGTAGGCAGTCATATAGATTGAAACGCCAAATGATATGGCACAAATGCAACTGTACTATATACTCAGAAGTTTTACTTCATGAGGCTTGGAAACTGGGTTATTATACCTTTTTTTGGTTTTCCTTGTGATGGCGGCATTGGTGAGTTCACTCTCAGTTGCTTTTGTGCAACTTTAGGACCTTGGGTGAAAGTAAGATGTGAACAGATCGGCAAAAAATTAGAAAACAACCTAAATCATTACGATAATGTGATTTCCTTATGAAATGTCTAGCTAAAGTATCTCTGCAGGGTGGAGGGTATTCAGTATTAGTTCTTAACTTTAAGGGGTCTTTAATGATAGAGAGAAACTTTTTCCGGTGCTGGCAACAGAAACCTAGCAGTGATGCATATTTATAGTATGCTGATCACTGGGGGATTTTGAGCCTTGTGTAAAGGAATTCTTCTTTGGCTGATCATAGAGACTGTTTCAGTATTTCAAATTTGCAAGGCATTCCTGTATAAAAGAAAAAAGATTCTGGCTACTTGCTTCTTATAGTCAAATTTACAGTCTCAGGAGGCTGAGGGCACTAAGAACCTCGCAGCTCTGCAGAAATTCCACTGAGATCCTGTCACTTCATGTTTCAGAAACTTGGCTCATAAACTTTATGAAATAGTAAAATGTGTTTATACGGAGCTTGGCAAGCTGTTTGATAAAATGCTTGTAAAAAAAGTGGTTGAATTGCTTAGATCTCCATGAATGGCTTGGGTATAAAAGCAGTTTTTTTAAAAAGTAGCAGCTTAGTTTGCCTGTTTCAGTTTAGAGTAGAGTATCATTTGGGCATGTTCCTAGTGAGCTGATTGATTTCTATGACAGTTGAGAGAGGTATTTTTTTTTTTTTTTAAATAGGCAGTCAGCTTTGAACAATGTTGGTGTGACATTTGCGTGCACTACCTGAGAGTATTTTTAATGATGTTGAGCACCTGCAGCTTCCACTTAGTTTAGTAGTGTTTAGTAGTGTGCTCTGGTGAGATTTAGTGGTATTACCTGCATTATGCATTTAGCTAAATTAGGCACCTGGGTTTACAAAACTTTCATTAATATCGTTCTAGTCCAGAAAGGCTAGAAAATATGGGTCTTCATATAAGCTGTCTAGTGGTTTATTTCGGTGTACACAACAACTGGACCAGTGGCTTTGAGGGGGGGAAATAGTGATGTGTGTGAGTTTTTTTTTTTTTTTTGATGCTTGTTCACATTTGTCCAGTAAAACAAAGAATGCAATTTTACTGATCATGGCTAGGTAAGTGTGATTTTGTTTTGTGCCTTACCTCTCCTCATTACATTCCTCGATGCTTCTTTCATCACAGTTTAAGTCTGGATGTTGTGCTTAGTTGTTTCACTTCTTGTACCTCCTTATCGTATGGGAGGCAATTTTCAGGATGAAGCGAGGGTTGGAAATCCTGTTTGTTGTTCTGTGTGCCTGGATTATTTCCCTTTTACTCTCTGGGAAAGATCAGTCTATCAGTCCGGGCGACTACAGAGTATTTCTGTTCCTTCACCAGGTTGTCAGTTCGCCTGCAGGAGGATGTTTGGACAAGTCAGCAAGCTGGAAAGATACTGCTGCTGGTTAGTCACGAGTATGCAAGGAATAACGGGATGCAGGAGTCAAGGAGAAAATAGGCCACTGTGCTTCGTTCTGTAGCAGCGACAGCAGATGTAACACTCGCAGAAGCTGAAATCTTAGTGTGAATAAAACCTTTCTAGTTATTGCTGCTTCTGCTCACCTTTAAACAAACAACTGAGCTGGCTGCTTTCTCTCGTGCTGTGGCTATGTCACTTTTCTTTGACTCACTAATGGGTTTGGGCAACAGGAGGTTGTTAAAATAAAATTACAAACATATTTTTTTCCTTCCAGTTAACTATGTAGGTAATATTTTTAATCTGTATATTTCAAAATACAGCTTAAAAAGCAGGCATGTGCTTTTTAACATTGTTACAAAGGGAATGACAGAAATACAGAGTAATCCGCTTCTGAGCCGATGGCATCAGAAGGGCCAGGAGCTGTACCCCGGGCAGCTCCCAGGCTCTCTGCCGGCTCGGTAGCTGGTCCTGCCATGGCAGACCCTCCTGCCATCTTACCCTTTGGCTACTGTAAAAGATGTCACACTGCCAGGTGCTGTACAATGCATCAGCTGAATGAAACATGTAGATTTATATGCTAATTAGTAATACTTTTTTTTTTTAATTAAAAAAAGAAAGTCACTGTTTGTAGCTTGCCATATTATAAAATTCTTAGTGTGAATCTGAAGTGCTTACATCATCCAAGTCCACACAAGAGTCGAGTGAAAGTTAGGGCATGGGAAGAGAAAGGAAGATGAAGTACACAGCCAAGGCAAGTGTACCATCTAATCTAGTGATGCTGGCTGTGGTCCTGTACATGCAACATTTTGTTTTAGTTTTTTTATTTAATGAATCTTATTTTTTTTTGAAGCAGAAGTGGAAAAATATTGACTGAGAGAGGAAAAAATAGCATGCTGTGAGGCATGGCTCTATTGGAAAAAACAGGCTTTCTCTTGGGGCAGCTTGCTGTGGTTGGGATTCCTGCTAATATCGTTATGTTGTTCAGAGGTTGCATCTGGTCACACTTATGACTGAAATCACTGTAGCGGTAGAACACTTTCAAGTGTAGAAGAGGCAAAGGTAATCTGCTTATTCTCTTTAATCAGTATTCATATAGCAGTAATTTGTGTACTCTTCTCCCCATACTGCTATTCTGCAGAATTTAAATTACTGAAGTCGTATAGCACGAGTGTGTCAGGAAATGAAACTTGCACTCAAGTTGACTAAATGCTGCAAATGAACAATGCTGGCAGTAAAATCATGGGGGAATGGGTATGTGTGTACTGCAGTTACATTTGCTGCTAAGAGAGAGGCACCTCATCTATGTGGCAAGGATTATAGTCTTGAATGTGAAACTGGAGTGTTATGTGCCAATGCAAGTTCATACTTGTAATATATTTGAGAGTCTGTAATAATTTATGTATTTCTATCTTAGTATTGCCTCTGACATTGTATTGAATGTAAGTAATTTGAGTTTTCAGCTGTAGGTGCTGTTTACTAATGTAATCCTGTGACAGAGTAAATCACAGAAATACTGATCCAAGTCAGAAAGCAACGTGTTTCATCCTGAACAACTACCTTTCTCTGCAGCAAAATCTCTACCAGTGATGGTATCTGAAAAGCTGTGTTTTGCTCTTCACTTTAATTATTTTTTTTTCTTGATGAAACTTATTATTTTGAGGAAAATAGAATGGCTGAAGGTGTTCATGCCTCACTATAATCTCTTAATAGCTAAGTAAGCCTCAATACTAGATTTACCTGTGAATCCTGAAAATACTTGTTACCACTGAGTGCTCTTAATATGTGTGAAAAGGAGCAGCAGCACTAAACCAAACCTGCCTAACTAGTTGCCTGCAATGCATTCTAATAAAAACACCCCAATCTAGGAAGAGATGGTTAGTATTTCATAACTGTGCCTCACTGAGAGCTGCTAGCGCGACTATACCGTGGCTTTGCTTCCTGCCCAAGTGGATAGTGCAAGTGGTGATGAGTAATTTTTAGTGTTTCCCACAGGCTCCTCTGTATAGTCTCTCCCATGGCTCTTTTGTCCTTTCTTTTGTGTCTGTCCCTGAAACCAGGTGCAGAAATGACTTGTACAGCCCACAGCCCTTCAGAAAGTAAATAACATCCAGGTGGTGTTTCATTTGCTACTATGGCAAGCACAAAGGTATTGCGGTGATGGTGGTAGGAGCTGGAGGAAGAAAGGAGGTCAGTGTGGGTGATGAGGTCTAGAAGAGGTTGCATTTGAAAGAGAAACAGATGAAGATTTTTGCCAAGCTTGTAGAGGAAGACTCGTGCATAAATTAGCCCATAATAATCTGTGAAGAAAAACCTCTCAAGATTTAGAGGTGTGGGTTTTCAAAGAGATGAAGAGGATAAGGAGTTTTCTGTTACAGAGTGAAGGTGGTTAAGAGTTTTCCAATAGTGCTGCAGAAAAAAGAAGAGCTTGAGGAGGAAGATGAGATTGCTTTCTGCCCCCCACTTGGTAAGAGGGTACAGAGCAAAGTAGGATGGGGGTTACGCCGGAAGCTAAATATTTCTCATGTGAACTACTTGACACAGAAATTCTGTATGTTGGTGTATTTCTGGGTCATCCAGTCTAATCTGTTGTAGGTAGAAGTGTTGTAGAGTTTCATAAACTTTCTTTCAACATGAGTATTTTCAAATCATGCATGAACAAAACAAAACGAAAAAAAAAAAAACCAAAACCAAAAACAAACAACAAAAAACCTCAAGCCCCAGGAGTTGCCCTGTTTCAGAATGCTACTGATATGTTTGCACAAGTAACCAGAATTTCTGTGGAACATGCTAAGCAGATTTCACTAGAGATTTATTAGTAACGTGAAATTTTCCCGTATCTTTTGAAAATAGCTACTGAGAGGCTGTGTTTGCCTCTTCTGTGGCCTTATTCGAGATCATGATTTGCATAGATGCCTTGTGACCTAAGTCTGTCTTTTCTGTTTTTAACTGATGAGTTCCACGTTGTGAAGGAAGACTGTTTGCATGTGCTCACTGCTGCTTAGCTTATGGTTCAGGAGATGATACTGTCTGTGTGTATGACCGAGGAAGGGATTGTTAGCAGAAGTGATGGGCAGCTCTGACATCCTGCTTCCAAAGATACGTCATTTCTTGGCCTTCTTTGCTGGCATCCGAGAACTGACACAAACTGGAATTTTTATTCTCTTCTACTGAAACAAAGCATTAGAACTTAAAAAAGATTTGTTTCAATAACAGCGTGTTAGCCTTAAGGAATGCTGAAACTGGTCTAGGACAACTGCTTTTAGAATAAATTGGCTAACTCAGCATGTGACTTTAGGAAATGAACAGTTTCTATTTGTATAGCAAATACAAGAACTTCACTGTTTTGACTTGAGTTATGAATGTCATGTATCTAACAAGACCTCCCAGCTCTTGTGACTTGGTTTACATGGATCACTTGACTGTAAGTTAGATGACTGACAGATAAAAATGCTAGTTGTGATGATATTAGAAATTATTATACCTCTTGAACTTCAGCTTTCTCAGCAGATTCAAGAAGAAAAAAAGTACAGAAACCTTTTAAATCAAAACTAGTTGTTAAGAAAATCCTGTGAAAGTCTTCAAATCAACTGGTACTTCTGTATCTGAATTTCTTAATACTGTTTTGTTACACTTTTATGAGCACAGTTCTTTCACTGAGCAGTGATTTTTTTTTTTTTTTTTTTGTGTGTGTGTGTGTTTTTTCTTTAGAATTTATGAAATATTTATGTATCTAATAAGATTGTCTGAAAGGGATGGAATGTTATAGTGTTAACTGACCTTTGCAAAATTGGTGTCAGTAGGTGAGTTGGGTTTTTTGATTGGTGTGGATTTTATTGTTTTAGTTTTTTAAATTTTACTTTATTTTATTGGAAAGCAGAACTGACTTTTCTGGTTGTAAGAGAGATTGGAGGAGCTGAGGTTGCTGAAATAGTGGATCTCTGAAGGGCATTATTCACGTTTGCTTCTGTCTTTCCTGCGATTAGCAGTTTCCAAATAAATATTTTCAGATGAGGCTACTGCACAATTGCTTTTTTCTCCCTCAGTTGTCATCTGCTTTCTACAAAGTTCCTGATCTTGCAGTACTCTAGGGTCATTTATCTTGGAGATGAAACCACACTGAGGTCAGGCTTTCCAATAGGCAAAGCAACAGCTCTAGTGCTGGGAGTGTTCGGTCGCTCACTTCAGGATAAGGGTTCTGGGCTATATAAGAGCACAGATACAAACTAGGGAGAGTCTCGGCCAGTATGGCTTTAAACATGTATTCCCATAAACTGGGCCTCACGTGTGCTACGATTATTTTTTTTGTTCATTCCCTGCTGACTTAAGTAGAAGATGCTATTGATTGCTTTTTGCAGTCAAGTGAAAATAAATGTTGTATGCAGTTGATTTGGGGGCAGAAGATGGATCTGCTGGAATGGAAACTACATCTGGAGGTATGTTTTGCTATTTTAAAGCAGCATATCTGGTTTCCTTGTGCATTAACTGCAGGAAGAGTCAATCGTTTTTAAATGGCCAGAAGGTTATCTGCTGCTTCTGTCTCTCCTTTCTTTCCCTGTCTTTACTGGGGCACTTGGAAGTATTTACACAGGTAATGCTGGGACTCTGCTCTGACTGCGATTGTCCTTGACTCTCCCACCCCTTCCATACGCCGTGGGGTCTGAGAGCCTGAAGAAATCTGATGATACAAAGGCCACTCATGCATGAAATGCTAGCAGAACAAGATTAACTGTTTGACTCCTAAGTAGATTGGAGAGATGACTCTTATCTTATGGCTCATGAATTCTGCAAATTTAAAGCAGTTTAGAGAAAATTCTCACCATTATTAATACTTCCATGGATTATCACAGATTCATGCTAAGATTTAACACCTTGCTTATTCAAAAATGCCATGTTCCTTGCTTTGATTCATTATTGTTAGTGCAGCTGACAGTGGGTTTCAGCCTGTGTCTTTGAATATGTCTATTCCTGAAACAGAGTTTCTGTATGAGTTGTTGCCATGTTATCAAGGACACTGCAGACTTCAAAGTTAGCTTAATGTTCATACCTTTTGATTAAAACCAGTCACTGTGCAGGGTAAACCAGTTGTTCCTTTGCCCAATTCTGTCATGCTCCAAATGAGAAACAGAGGTAGACAAATTACCAAATTTAATTTGACCTTCAGTTCAGAACAGCCACGAGACAGTTACAAGTTGAATGCCATTTATTCTACCTTTAGTGTGATTTCAGTGGTGGGGAAAAAAATGTCCGTAAAACTTTTTCTAAGTGATGCTTTTAAGCTACAGAAAGAGCGTGAGAGAAGCTTATACTGGCTAGGGGATGTGCGGTTTGAAAGTTCAAAGGAAGCAGAATATGGCTCACATTCCCCAGGAACAGAGATGATGATTGCTGACTGAAGACCTTGTTTATTGTTGGGAAGTAGCAAGACACTCTTAGTGGCTGGAATAAAGACTTTGTGATATCCTAATTGCCTGACATTGAAGTGAGGAAAAAAAAAAATGGAGATGTTCTATTAGCAATGTTGTTTTTTTGTTTGTTTTTTGTTTTTTTTCCATTTCAGACTGAATTAAATTAGACCTTGTAGTGACTTTGTAGAATTTCATTCCGGTCCTTATACCTTCTTGTGAGGGTGTTCTTTCAACTCGGCAGCTTTCCAACTGTAACAAATGTGCTCTGTCTCTGCCCATACAGAATGTTGGGTCTTGCTTCTTACTCATTATTTGGGTGGCAAGCTTTTGTATGTAAAGGCTAGTTTACTAACTAAGAATTACATCTACATTATGTTAGTAAGCTTTTATGGAGGTCTGGCTATAAGAATTGAAGATTTCACACTAGGTCATTTGAGTTGGGAAGTCTGAAGGAAAAGAAGAAATTGTGTGACAGATCTCTCTGATAAATCTGGCCTTTCTATATGCTTTAGAGGAAGCATTTGATTGTGTCATGAGCTAGAAAAGGAAAACTGAATAACTGTGGTTTTTAGGCCATTGTGCTTCTGATAGGTTTTATATTGAATCAATTTTTTTTTTTCTTCTGCTAGAGGTGAACCTAATGCATTATAGTGATTTAGGAAAAAATCTGCATTTGGTGTTTCAAGCAGTTTCTCACCAAAGAGACCGAAAAGAAATACAGGCTTCCTAATATTTGGTGATTTAATAGTAATTTCCCACCTATCAAAGATGCAGTATTTAGCCACGTGTAGCACTCCAGAGAAAGAGACCTGATACACAATAAGCTGGACTGTGTAGTTGCAGTGTGCTTTTATGCTGTGGCTTTAGGACCCATACTTAAAGAACGACCGAAAACAGGCAGCTAATGTTCTTGATGTATATAGTCACAAACGTTCTTCTTGTAAGTGATTTTATGAAACAAATGGCAGATTCTTTTGTGGCGTAGTTTACAGGACTCTGTGTCTGTGGCCTTGGTACATAATTCACTGATAAACAAAAGTTTGTTTCCTCTTTACTTTAGATATATTTTTCTCCTTGCTGCTGCCATTCCTTATATTAAGCTAACAAATCCTCACATGCGGTATCCTTTCTGGAAGGGAGGTATTTCCTAAATCTGTTCATTATCTGTAATCAAGCCTGTCTATAAAGAAATAAGATCAGGTAAAGCTCTATTCCCTGCTTTAATATAGCAAACGCTGGAAGAAATTACCTGGAACAGCAGAATAATTTTACAGCTTTCAAGGTTTAATGTGAACACTTCAGTTTTTACCTTTATAAACAGGCTGTCAAGTCTGCTTATGTCAATCTGTTATAAAATAAGCCTACTCATATGAAATTCACAGTTCTCAGTCACTCAAGATGTTTTGGAGCCAGTTTAATTTTAGCAATGGCAACAACCCTGTAGCTGGTTGAGGTCTCTGTGAATCTTCATCAGTAGATTTAGAGCGAGGGTGGCAGTGACTAAAGTTGTGCTCTCTTTCCTTAAAAAGTTTTATCGTTATAGTATAAAGACTACCTTTTAATAAGATTAACGGTAGTAAGATTTCCAATGCTCCATTATTAGAGCCATCTTAAAAAATCTGTCTGTGGCTGACTGAAATAGTCTGAAACAGTTAGAAGGTATCTATGCTACAGAAATTTGCTTTTAACTGTCTGAATTAGAAACTACTGTGAAAAAATTAAGAGGCTATAGTTAGGTTATGTGTAATGGTGCTGGAATAGTTCCAGTCTCCTCGTGTTGGTGTTAAGAGATCTCTACTCCCCACTTAGTCTAGTGAAATTATAGCTACGTAAAGGAATTTTTTTATAACAGAAAATCTTATCAGTGCTCAGATTTACCATTTTGCCATCTTAATTAGCTGTCATCTCGTACACGAAGAACACATCACCTATGGTATGTGAAGATTTGGGTTATTTTAGTAGGTATTTAGCATCTTTTGTGAGACTTTGTGGAAGCACACAATATAAGGGTGTTGTGTTTAAGGGTAAGTATCTTAGCATCACTTTAAAAACTTGCCTTGTTCTTTAACATGCAGATTTCCTTCAGAGTTCATAGACTGGTTTACAGAGGAATAAGCAAAAAGAAGGGTAGCCATATCAACAGCACCTTTAGAGGTACATCTGGAGGTATTCTATACGTAATAAAATCTGGGTGTAGTTCAGTTTCTGATAGGGTACTGTGATAACACTGAGCGTCTATTCATAATTTGATGCCAGTGGTGCTTTTAATATGGTCTCTTCTATAGGGCTGGAACATGCCAGATTTTCCAGCAGGCTAAGCTCTATGTAACTGTTCTGTTGCACGTTTCTCATAAAGTATGTAGAGAAAGTCAGATATTTTTTTAATAAAGGCCAATTGTTGTAATCAGTTGCTCTATATTTGAATGTCTGCTAACTTATAAACATTTATAGTAGACTGAACTTTAGAATGCTGATTTCAACAAACAAAATAAAGAAGTTCTTTTTTGTTGGAAGATTGATTTTTTTTTTTTTTTTTTTGGTTGGTTTAAAAAATTGTTTTAAAAATTCACAGATTGTAATAGAGATCCTGAGTTAGCCTTCTTTTGAGCATGCATTTGTGCAAGTACTTGACATTGATAATTTTACAGACTTGCCAGAAAATAGAGTAGGAAATTATGCTTAGTGTTCAGGAATTTGGTACTGTTGCATTTTGAGAAGAGTAAGCATCTAAAATGACACAAACTTCTGCCTTTTATTTCTGCTGTGTTCATAGATTCCAGAAGGACTTAATGTATGGACTTCAAGTCACGGAGGTAGCAGTAGAGAAGTGCTGCTTTATGGTGTTATTGTATGTATGTGCTGAGGTAGCTGGTGTCATCTGGGATGTTTGGAGGGAGACCTAGCAGAGTTTAGTGGGTGTCATCGGGCAGTGACACCAATGAGCTGTGGGATTTAGGCCCCTTTTTGAAAATTGAGATTTTAAGGACTTTGAGACAAAAGATGCAGAAGTGAAGTTTGAAGTGTAGCATGTTGTTTCCATTCTGAAAAGTGTTTTCCTTGTGTGTACCTGGATCAGCCTTGGAGTCTCTTTCACTCTAGCTCTTTTTATATTGCATCGTAAAGACTGTCCTGTCTGGTGTAGGCTTGTTGCATTGCTCCCACCGCACAAGTTTATTTTGAGATGTTGTTCCAGACAAGATGCAAGATCAACTTTTAAAGATTGTGCAGTCACTGCCTGCTGGGGAGGTTGACTGCCTCCCCTGCCACTAAGAGGAAAGTACAGGCCCAGGTTCAAGCAGATGAAGTGACTTATATGTCTACTCTTTCTGCATGAGGAGTCCTTTCCTGTGCCCTACGCACGTGTGTCCTTCTGTTTGCAACACCGAGAAGGTTCCCACCAAACCTCCAAGGGATGCATCAGGCAGGCCAGCTACACAGTCGACAGACCTTACTGAAATGGTAAACTTTTCACTGTGATGGAATGAGGTAAGAGTCTGCTGGTTTCATGCATTCTTTTAATGGCCAAAACCAGCCAAATGTAACTCGGGTATCCATGTCGTATTGAACTTTTCTAGGACTGGGCTATAGGAACAACCTGGAGCTGCTGTGAAGTTTAGTAGAGCAGCAGACAGCAGACAAATATTTTAAAGGGCTGTTGTGGTCATAGATTTCATATTCTGCTTACTATCCTTACTGTATCACATTTTGAGTTTCTTATGTAGCTCTCAAAATGAACTAATACATATGCATTGAAATTCAGCATGTGTACTATCCTCTAGAAATAAATCAAGATCAACCTGTAAATTCCCGGTTTCTGTCATTTGTGGCTGGTTGCCATGTGGATGAAAAGGAGCTGGCTGAGCTGCTGACTGCATAAGGCTTGATACGGTTTGAGGATAACGATAAAAGAAAATTACTTTCCTAGTCTGTTGAAGAACATGTACCCCAGTGACACCATGTGTGGATTTTTTTGCTCTTGTTATTCTTTTGGCTTAGTGGCTATTTCTATATGCATAAAAAAAAAAAAAAAAAACAAAAAAACAAAAAAAAAAAAACCAAAACACTAAAGCGTAAGAACTCATGACTTTTTAGGAAGGATTAGGTCCATTTTTCCAGTCCGTCATAGACACTTTCACTCGTTCCTCTGTCTTTGTAAAGGGCTATGGCCATGTGCTATGTATAGAGCTAAATCTGTAAGCAGCTTGCATAAGGTAACCAGTGCTGAATGTGATGGATTTAGTGGCTTTGCTGCCATGTTGCAGATAGCACGGAGTGTTCTTCAGTTAACTTCTAGGTGCACTTCAGTGTCCTGGTGGTTCTTTATTTTAGGGGTGGTGGGGAAAGTTTGTAACTCCTGTTGGTGATCTCCCCCTGAGTGATTAACTTGATGCTGTATGGCAGCAATTAAACAAAATGATTAGAGTGTAACAAGATACCTGTATGAATGTTGTGTTCTGGCTGGTGCTGTGTTTGAAGGACAGTAAACTCCGCAGTGTTCCCAGGCTTTGTCCTACAAAGTCACAAATGCTTAAATTCCATTAGTGTTGCTTAAAAGGGTGTATTGTTGTTTTCCATTAGTTTTTTCTAGCTAGGTCTTGGAATGTTTTTATGGTGCACTTAAATTAAGAAAATGTGCACTTCATTATTTATGATTTTGTGCACTTAAGAAAGCTATTATTAGTATATACTGTAATGTTAGTATCTGTATTAACTGATGGGGTAGTTACAGTTGTAGCTTCAGTGTGATTGCTGTCTTTCAAGCCGGTTTCTTGATGTGGGTAATTCTGAAGTTGGGATGCATGTTAAATCTGTGAATTCAAGAGGGACCATCATTAAAAGTTTAAAAATTTGAATAATAGGGATAAAACAATAGTTTGAACCAAGCCCTATTTTCGAATCCTCCTGTTTTTCTTATGCTCTTGGGCAAGTCCTTTCTAGCTTTCCATTGGCCTGTTTGTGAAGTAGATTCTCATATGATGGGAGCACTCTGAAGTACAATTGAAATAGTTAAGACAGTTTAACTTCTTTGAAATGTTTTAATTATTCCAAGTCTTCTGAACTGCACCCTTCCAAAGTGAATTTGGTGCTTTGTTCTTTTCAAAGCATTTGGAAAAGGGAAACTGAAAGTGTTACCCAGAAGAAGTAGTAATCATATTTTCCTTTTCTGCGTTGAATACTGCAGTTGTGGACACAAGCTAGCTCAGTACAATCTTTTGGGGCAAGAGGGCAAAATTTTCATTTCCACTATACAAATGAAATTGTTAACATTAACCTTAAGGACTGAAGAATGGGATATTTATTGGTGAGGGAGAAAAGCTTAATCTCAAAGACCAAGTTACAGCCTTACGCTGGTATGGATTTTCATAAGAGGGATGTTCTCTATTGCTGGTAGGCGTGAGGACCCTTGCATTTGGATGCTGCCTATGGCAATCTGAAATACTGAGTCAGGAAGTCTCATATCAGCAGTTTCATTTTTGTAAAAAGATAATCTCTCTTAAAATAGCATGAATTGTAATGATTCTGAAACAAAAAAGTGTTGCTTTTAACGGTTACCCCTGGTTTTGGATTAGGGAGCTTGAAGGATGGAGAAGCTTGGTGGTGGTATGATGTGGCATTCGTTTTATCAGGCAATTTTTTCTGGATCTCTTTTGAAAAGCTTTAATAAAAACCGTGAAGTCACAGCCTATTAAGGAATTGAGTTCCCTTTCAGTTCTGTTTTGCCATGTTTTTTCGCTCAGATTCAGTGAGCACACTGCTACCCTTAGCCTGGGGTGGTTTTTTAATAGAACTTTCTTGATTAAACCTTGATCTAGGCCACTTGCTCTCTGCCCTCAGACAAATCCCTACACAGCAGGACCTTCAAGTTAGTTCCTGCTCCGAAGACAGTGTTTCTGTGGACCAGATGAAAATCATTATGGACAGACTTTGCTTCTGCTTGGCTGTCCTGAGCATGGGTGCTTTTTGCCTCACACCAGAGCTGTGTAGTTTGTTGTTGTTGGGGTTTGTTTTTTAAATTTAATCACACCTTGATCTGCTCTCTAGTGAAAAAGGTACTGATACAGGATCTGTCAGAAAAGGATTTATGAAAACTTTCCTACTGTATAAATCTGTATAAGCTCTTGAAATGCGTTCAGAGTTCACTAGACTTTTTCAATATAATCAACATGAGGTAGAAATACTTGTCACAGCTTCAAGTGTTTCATGAAAGCATAGGTCTTTAGGGAGTTGAACAGGTACACTGTAAGGTATACTTATCTATCACACACACCATTTGACATTGAATCCCTACAAGTGGGGAAATAATTGTGTATTTCATCAGATTTCACTGGCTGACTTGGTATTGAAGTTTTAAATGTCCCTCTCCTCCTCCCTCTCCTCCTCCCTCTCCTCCTCCCTCTCCTCCTCCCTCTCCTCCTCCCTCTCCTCCTCCCTCTCCTCCTCCCTCTCCTCCTCCCTCTCCTCCTCCCTCTCCTCCTCCCTCTCCTCCCTCCTCCTCCCTCTCCTCCCTCTCCTCCTCCCTCTCCTCCTCCCTCTCCTCCTCCCTCTCCTCCTCCCTCTCCTCCTCCCTCTCCTCCTCCCTCTCCTCCTCCCTCTCCTCCTCCCTCTCCTCCTCCCTCTCCTCCTCCATTACTATTAAGTGGGAAATACTATTAGTTAAAATACCACTTGGTGGAGAACTTTTGGAAAGTGCTTTAATCAGCTATTATGCTTGCATAATAAGAACGGTTAGCTTTGGAAAAGTATTCATATAGACTTGTGTTTCTGCCAAAGGAAGTAAATGGTATTTATGTATTTAAAGGAGGCTGTGTTTAAAATTCTGAAGCTGTTGGTAAAAAAAATATTTTGTCAGATCTAGAATATGTTATCTTTGGAGTTCTTTATCCTTGATACCTATTTATTTTAGGTAAGTATTTCACTATCCCCATTTTTGCTCCATGTTCACAAAACCCGGTGTCCTAGAAATATCTTGTTTGCAGCTCAGTAAGATTACCTCCTTTTCCCACATGCTATGATACCATAGGTTGTTGGGTTGTTTATTTATTTTAAACATCTTTCATGATTTCTCATTTGTGTCTTAAAATCCAATGCAGAGTGGCTGGCTGTTAAGTGATGACAGGCTTGCAGTGGCGATAAGCAGTGCTGTTGAAGGCAGTGTGCACCAAATGGCATGCCCAGTCTCAGCAGTGACCTTCAATCTGTGAAGGTCTGAGCAACTGAACGCAATGCTTGCATCTGTAGGAGTAGTTCAAGGGTGGCCGTATCAGTGGGGTGTTGTTCTCGGTTAAGCAGACCTGCCAAAAGAAGGGTGTACAGCAGTGTTGCAATGGCTACAGCGTTTTGGGATTCAATGAGTGCACAGGGTTGTTCTGTACCATGTAGTTCAAACATGACCATAGTTTAAAAGCCACGACCAATTTTAAATGTCCAGAATTGGTTTTGGTTCTGCAGACAATATAATTTTGTCTTCACAGTCTAAGTAAGCAATCTGAGTTATGGCGGTAATACTTTGCAATTTACATAAATCTTCTGCATAGATAGCAGAACCATGCATGAGAAGGGATGGGCATTTATTACTCTTTAAAATGTAGACTAATTAGTGAAATCAAAAGCAATTTCTGTGAGATAAGGTATGAATTTATTAGCTGTTAAGTTACACATTTCTTTGTTCTGCATCTGCATATTGAGCCAAGTTCTTGTAAATAATACATGAAAATAAAGGGCTGTTCAGTGGAGAGCAAAGGAGGAATCTGACTTCTCATGTCAGTAGATCCTGGTGAATCCTTCTGCTTAGGAAGCAGACACGTCCACCTCTGAAGTTATTCCTGAAAGTGTATTTGGTGAACAGCTCTTAGGAGCTGTTAAGGCAGTATTTGTCCTAATTTTAGTAACAGTAACATCTTAGGCTTGCTTTTGCTCTTGAAAAGTTTGGGGAGTTTCTCCCCCACCCCATGTACAGAGTCAGAAGTTGTATGTTTAAAATATTGTGATATGAGGCTATTTCATTTTAATAGCATAGAGGGATAAAGTTTGTTTTAGAAGAGGAGGGTCCAGTTTTGTTATGCTTGTTTGTCATGTGTTGGTGGTTAAGACTGGCATCTAAGTGTCTGAATGGATGAATATTTTGGGGGTAGTTGCAAGGCAAGCTGTAAGTTCCTGTCCTTCCTGTATTTCCACAGAAAATCTGTGCAGAATGAGAATGTATTTCTCTCTTTGGCAGTTCCAAAATCATTTAGGTCATCTCAGAGTAACCCATTCCTTTAGTTTTCAGCTGCAGAAGAATCTTCTGTTACTCCAAATCTATCTGGAGAAAGGCCCTTCAAACCTATAGCCTAATATGCTTAGTCTTGCTTTCTTAGAGATCAGTGTTACACCAAATCACACACACACTGAAACACTCTGTGTTGTGGCTTGAGCTCAGAGGGCAACTGAGCACCACACAGCTGTTCATGCCCCCTTTCCCCCCCCCCCAGCGCTGAGAAGGATCAAAAAAGCCAAGGCTTGGGATTCAGGATAGGACAGAGAGGGGTAAATCACCCGTTATGGTCACAGGTAAAAGGCAGACTTGTTCGGGGAAGAAAAAAAGAACATACATTTATTACAGACACTAACAACACATAACAGAGCAGGACAGTGAGAAGCATTGCCACAGTCTTGAGAACACCTTCCCCCCACCCCTCCCTTCTTCCCGGGCTCAGCTCTGCTCCCGATATCTCTACCTCCTCCCCCAGGGGCGCAGGGGCAGGGAATGGGGGGTGCAGGCAGCGCTGCCACTTTCTCCATCTTCAGTGGGGGGAGCTTCTGGAACTTCTTCCCCCTGCTCCAGCATGGTCCCCCTCTCACAGGAGACAGTCCTCCACAAACTTTCTCCAACTTGAATTCCTCCCACGGGCCGCAGCGTTCCCCACACTGCTCCGTCATGGGTCACTAACTTCCTCCGACTGGATTCCCTCCCACGGCTGCAGCCCTTCCCGAGCTGCTCCGGCGTGGGACTCCCCCGCATGCTGCAATCCTCCCAGCGCTGAATTACAGCAGCGGGGCTGCCTTTTCCCATGAGACCCCGGCCTTCTTCGGGCACAGAACCTTGATCAACCAGGCAAAAAACACAGGCCATAAATCAATGTCTGCTCCACCGTCGATCTCCATGGGTGGCAGGGGGGGCCGCCCTGCTGTCTCCCCACAGGATACAGGGGGGTCTCTGCTCCGGCACACCTCCCCCCTCCTTTCTTCCTCCGTTCCCCCACTGACCTTGGTGTTCATGCAGCTGCCCCAACTCCTCCTCACCAGTCCCACTGCCCATCACCACGTCCCTTCTTAAATACGTTATCGCAGAGGCGCAGCTGATGGGCTCAGTTTTGGTGCAGAGGTGGAGCTGACGTGGAGCTGGGGGAGCTTCGAGAAGCTTCTCCCAGGGGGTTCGCCCCTATAGCCCCCTCCCCTGCCACCAAAAAACTCCACCACTCACACAAACCCAGGACAACCTGCTTGAAGTACATCAGACTGTAATTCCATTACAACTGAATTTCTCTGTTTTTTAATTTGGAGGTAATATATTTTCAAAGATTTCCAAAGATTTAATGTAAGTGCGTGTTTGAGAGAGGAATAACAACTATTTCTGAGTTAAGGTGCAGCACCAGAACTTGGGTTTCCTACTTGGGTCAGCTGCAGAGTGACTCCTACTTCAGAGGTGGATTTACTTTTGCAAAACTTGTAGCACATTGAGTTTTCATGTGTAGTCAGAATACGTCTGCAATTTTTCTTGTCATATTTTTGCTTCAAATAACGTAGTGCAAAATGGAAGGCAAGTACAGTGAAAACTGTAGATACACACTGTGGGTTTAACTGCTACTGAAAATTACTGACTACTAATTGTTACTAAAAGTTACTAATATGTGTAGGCAGTTATAATTTTTGGTTGATCTCATCCTCTCCCCACATTCCTCTACTCAGCCACTTCTCATCCCATGACTTTCAGGGATGAGGGATCTGGAGGAGGGTGAGGAGGAGACTGGAGTTGGGTAGGACACAAGCCTGGAGTTAAAAGCCAGAGAGGCTGAAACTAATTCAAGTTACTTTGTCAGTGTAGCAAAAGAAAATGGTTTGGGCCCGGAAGAAGGGGAAACTGAAGTCTACCAGAAGTATCACGTGGAATTTGGATGGGGGCTTGTGTGTTGTTGAATTGTAACTGGTGAGTCTGCAGAAGTGCATCAGCACTGTGGGTATCGGTGCTTACCATCATCTGTCGATGACATCTGAATTGTGCAAAACTTTACTGTAAGCAGTAAGCTGGCTATGCTGTATCGCGAGGGCTTCATGATACTACTTCATTTTCGAGTTCTGTTGGTCAGCCCTCTAAATCACTTCAAACTGTGGTTACTTAAAATAATAGTACTGTGTTCAGGCTGAACATTTTCACATTCTTCACCTTTGTTCTTCAGAGCACAGTTTCATATGCTGTGTATGGGTCTGTCAGTAGCCAGTACTTACTATAAATGTAATTAGTTTAAAATCATTTTAGTTCAGAAGTAAAAGTGGATTGACAGTAGCTTGTAAAATCAAGTAAGAGCTTGCGTGGTTTCTAGGTATTTCTAGGAGACCTTTCCAGGCATGGGATATGACTGCAGCTTTTTCATGGTAGTAGACATTATCCTGGAAATTCGGGAAAAACATCCTCTAAAATTCTCTGTAGACATATTTGCAGTTATCTGTATGGTTTCAGAAAGAAATGGACATAGGTTAACAAAACTTCTTTATGCAGGAGTTTTTGTTTGGAATATTTGAAGTCTGTATTCAAAGGAAACGTGCTTTTAGTATCTAAGTGTAATTTATGCATAAAAACAGATTGGCCTTTCAGCTTCTTGATCCAGACCAAATTAAAATAAGTCATTATACTTGTATTGATTGGTATAATATAAGTTGGAGCTAAAAATGTTCCTCTCTGTGTTTTTTTTTTGTTTGTTTGTTTGTTTTTTTTTTTTTTTTTTGTGTACAGAAAAGATGAAAAGGAATATGCACTGAAGCAAATTGAAGGTACAGGGATATCCATGTCGGCCTGTAGAGAGATTGCAGTAAGTGTACATCGATGAAAGTATTTTTCTGACACACTATTCAACAGATTTTATTTTCTCTGGATTAAGTAGCATGAAGATTATCTAAATGTTTTCTTTAAAGTATGCAAGCATGAAAATTATTCAAACATGAGCTCTTCTGAAAATGCTTTCTAAATAATACCTTTTTTTTTTTTGTGGAAAGAGATGTTCGTGCTAGGTAATAACAATGCCTCTTTCTGGTGTGATTTTGTTTTATCTGCTTATATGTTTTTAGATGGAAATACATGTGAACCACTTAATGAAGATTTATTTTAAAAAGGGATGTTTTCAAACTGACTTGAAGGAAAAAGGTTCTGAAAGATTACAACTGCCATTACAAGTCTGCTTGCTAGTGTTGTGTTTTACTTCTGACTAATGGTAGCTTACTCTTCTTTAGTACCCGAGAACAGTTTGTTTCCTCATTCCTTATTTGCTTTAAGTACAGAGAAATTTCATAGCAAAATAAAAAAAACAGCTTTCATTTTTATTAAATTTTATTACTTTTATTACATGTGTTTGGAGAGGAAATGGATTCGGAAATTGCACACTTTGGAGCATAGTAGTGCTCATTATTCCTTCAAAGTTGATAAAAAATAGGTGTTTGTATATGATGGTAGAATTTGATATTTAAATGTTTTCTTTATGAATGAAAATGTGCATTACTGTCAGTGCTGGATAGCGAGTAAGATTTTTGTAGTGCCAGAAATTCTCGCATTGCAAAAGTGCACATAGCTGATAAAATATTTACCTTGTGTTAATACTGTCACTATGCTGAAAGTTGTTGAAATGTCTGTTAGAATTGTGCCTGAAGCTTTTTATAATCTAGTGGTGTTGCACTGAAATACAACATTCAAGTGTGCAATGCACTGGGAGGCATTAGAAACTCATGATGTTCATGAACTGAACAAACCATGGTATTGTGTTTACTGTAGTGCCCACAGTAATTCTGTATCAAGAGATGGAGCAGATAAAACTACTATTCTTTTGAAGTGATTGTCACTGTGAGGTCAGGGTCACTCAGGGTTTTGAGAGGTGCCTACATTGCTGTCAGTCACTTAACACAGAATCTACCCAGCGACCTTCTTACTAATATTTCTGCCTTTGGAGGAAATAAGAAATCCTTTTTTAACAATGGTACAAGATTATATTCTTGTTACTACAAAGTCAGTTTTGACAGCCTTGAGGGATTTTTTTTCGTTGTTGTTTCTTTGATTCTTGACCTTTGTTTTAAATTGTACTACTGTGGAGATGATTTGTGGAATAGTCTGAAGGAGACTTGCCTGTTGTCATGATAGCACTGTGGTATGGAGATAGTTCTGTCATACCTGAACACAACATCATGAGGAAGTAGAGTGTGTCAAATTATTTTTTTCCTCTGATGATACATCACCATTTCAGTCTTGATTTTTTTAAAAGTTTTTTTTTCATTGATGAAGCTTTGTGCAAAGCTCAGTACAACCTGGGAAATTTCACAACTACTGTGTAAGTTGCTTGAATCCTCTCAGTGGTTTTTCCTGTAATTCTTCTTCAAAAGGTATTTTACTCTTTTTCAGACTTTATTGTAAAACTGTATAACCTGAGATAATATATCAAATCACTGTTTGCTTCAGTGAAATTTTGGGTTGGTGAAATACTAGAAATGTGAAAAAGATAAAGGTGAAATAGTTGAAAAAGAAATATGAACTTTTTGTCACACAGAAGTAAGCAGAATCAAGTTCATTTTTCATAAAGAGAATCAGACATTCATAATTCATTCATGAATAGATTCTTAGTTCATATTGTATTTAAAGGCTTAGATAGGTAACAAAGAGGGTAATGTTTACTGGTGTTGTGGTTTGAGCTCAGAGGGCAACTGAGCACCACACAGCTTCTTGCTCTTCCCTTCTCTCCCAGCAATGAGAAGGGACAGATGAGCCAGGCTTGGGATTCAGGATAGGACCAGGAGGAGAAGATCACCCATTATGATCACGAGCAAAAGGCAGACTCGTTAGGGGAAGAAAAAAAGAACATACATTTATTACAGACACTAACAACACTTAACAGAGTAGGACAGTGAGAAGCATTGCCACATCTTGAGAACACCTTCCCCCCACCCCTCCCTTCCTTCCCGGGCTCAGCTCTGCTCCCGATATCTCTACCTCTTCCCCCAGTGGGGCAGGGGCAGGGAATGGGGGGTGCAGGCAGTGCTGCTGCTTCTGCCATCTGCGGTGGGGGGAGCTTCTGGAACTTGTTCCCTCTTCTCCATCATGGTCCCCCTCTCACAGCAGACAGTCCTCCACAACGTTTCTCCGACTTGAATTCCTCCAGCTGGAGTCCCTCCCATGAGCTGCAGCGTTTTGCTGTGCAGCTCTGGTGTGGGACAGCCCCGCATGCTGCAATCCTCCCAGTGCCCAACTACAGCAGTGGGGGCTGCTTCTTCCCACAGGGTCCTGGTCTTTTCTGGGTACAGTCGCCTTGGTCAGCCATGTGAAACGCCTCACAGGCCATAAATCAATGTCTGCTCCACCGTAGCTCTCCATGGGTGGCAGGGGGGGGCAGCCCTGCCGTCTCCCCACAGGATACAGGGGGGTCTCTGCTCCGGCACACCTCCCCCCTCCTTTCTTCCTCCGTTCCTCCACTGACCTTGGTGTTCACTGCAGCTGCAGCAACTCCTCCTCACCAGTCCCACTGCCCGTCACCACGTCCCTTCTTAAATACGTTATCGCAGAGGCGCAGCTGATGGGCTCAATTTCCCAAACAGAAGTGGAGCTGACGTGGAGCTGGGGGAGCTTTGAGAAGCTTCTCACAGGGGGCCGCCCCGATAGCCCCCTCCCCTGCCACCAAAAAACTCCACCAGTCACTCAACCCAGGACACAGGTCTATTTCTAGTAAGCAGATAAACATTTTGTACTACTGAAGTAGTATTATATACTACTTGGCAGTGAAATACACTGAAGAAACACTGATTTGCTAAATCTCAGTAGAAGCTGCAAGTCCCTCATATATCCTGAGTTGCTCCTCTGAGGTTCGTGACTGGTCACTGAAATTAGTTATCTCACACGAAGTTTTTGGAAAATTTCTTAAGGGTCTGAAATTTATTCCCAAATTCTTTTTTTTTGGGACTGTTTGTCACCAGAACACACATTTAATCTAGTACTTAGATCAGTTCCCAGGTATGAGTTCTGCATATTTTCAAAAAATTCAATGACAAGTGAAAAATAAGTTCAGCTTTTCTCTGAAAGACAGCCACTGTTTTTAGTGTATTCTAGCTGTTCTCCTCCTGAGACAGTTCCATGTTAAGTATATTAAATATAGTAGTACAAATGTCCTGGCAACCAATGAAGTATTTGTAACAGTTGCTTGTACTGCAGTCAATACAGTCTTGCTTTGAAATTTTTAACCTGGAAGAGGATAGTTTTAAGAATGTCTTTTTACAAGATCATTCTTTCTTCCCCCTAAAGCACAGCGTGCAGACAAAGATAACTTCTACTAAAGGCTTTGTCATGGTTAGAGCCTGGTCAAACCATGGTTTGAGCTTCGAGAAGCTTCTCACAGGGGGCCACCCCTATAGCCCCCTCCCCTGCTACCAAAAAACCCCACCACTCACTCAAACCCAGGACAGGCTTCATGTGAACCAGTGACTTGAGTTAGGTCCTAGGAGACTCTTCTGGCAACTCCTGCTACTTTCCAGCTTTTCTCCTTATGCCAACACTGAGAGCTTCCCCCCTTTCTAAGGATAAATTACCAAGTGTAGCCATCTACTCTGTAAACAGTGATCTTAATTCTAAACGTCATTGAATTGAGATAGATATATATATATATTTATATATAGCTCAGTAGCCTTTTTTCTGTGGGGAAAAATAATTAGACTAGGCTGTTACAGATTATTTAAACGGGGAAGGTAGAGCCACAAACCAGCAGCATTTCTCTCCTAGCCTTGCTTAGGAGTGTCCTGAATTGCTACAGTTTTGCCCTGCCTGAATGTTGGGTCTGGGACATGCAACCGTTTCAGTTGCCACATCCTGTGCCTGGGTGTTGTTAGTGAAGCTGCTAGAGGCTGCTCCTTCTGGGAGACCCTGAAACGTTGCCAGTACACTGTGGGACACTAGTGGGATCATTAGTTGGCCTTTGTGTTCATACTTGCATTTATGGGTACAGGCTAAAATAATTCTGACTGTAATGTTAAATGAGTTACTGAAAGCTCATTCAAACAGTTCAGCACACACAAATTATCCTCAGGCCTTTTGCCTCTTGATGCAATATATGTTCCGAAGTGCTGGAGGGTACAGATATTGTGGCATCCTCAGTTTCCGAGGGTGGGCAGGGTTTTGGAAGCCTCACGGGTTAAACGACAGGTTTTTGTAGCCTTTTCGTGTCTGTCAGCTCTCCCGAGCCAGGCTCTGTCTCCCTGTATTTACGGTGTTTTCCACCTCCCCGCTGTCTGGCCCTGCTTTGTGCGTGGCAGCTCCTCTGGGGCTGCGTCTCCGGCCCCTTGGCGTTGGCGGTCCGTGGCGGTGTGGTGCTGGTGCTGGAGCTGGTGCTGGTGCTGGTGCTGAGCCAGGGCGGCCCGCCTGGGCTGCCTGGCTGTCCTGAAGCACTTTGTGCCTTTGCCCTGCCAGCAGCGTGGTGCGGGGACACCCAGGGGGACACGTTGTGCCTCGTTTGCAGCTAGTAAAGTGTCTTTGCTTTCACCTCTGTCAGGTGCTGCACATCACAAGCTGCTCTCACCTCCCTGGCTGGAAGCTGCTTAGGCAAATGAACCAAACGGGGAGCTACTTCATTTGGGACGGTGGAGCGGTCTGGCCTTATAATCTGTTTGACCTGTCTCTGCATCTCTTAAGAATGCAGAAAAGGTCAGCTGTACAGGAATAACCGTAACTTTTCAGTATTAATAATACACTTGGAAGATTTATAATGCCATTGGCTCTCTTCAAGTACAGTTACATAGAATTTCATAATAGGTAGAAGTGCTGTCCTCTGCTTTGGCTGTCTTGACCTTTTCTTTGACCTTGACTATAGCAGCAGCTTGCAGTATTTACTGTTACGTAGAAAAATAGCTTTCTGACCTTGGTCCCTGGCTTTGTTTAAGGCAAGGTTAGGTAAAAGAAAGCTTTAAAATAAAATCTGTGTCCCTGAGTACATTTGCTGTAGGAGATTCCTTCTGAATGTCAGAACTTCTTTTCCCTTTCCAAGATAATATAAATGTGTAGAATATTTGGCAATGTAAAATCTCCCCTTAAATTCTCTACTACCTAATTAGAAAAGATTGTTAGACTTGTTTGTGGAAACTTTGAAACTCCACTCCCTATTTCAATAGCTGGAGGTAGTGAAATAAGTATAAGTTTAAAAAAAATTTTTGTTGAAGGGATTTTTATTAGAGAGTTAATGCATGTGTTGGCTAGAAGTGTCTATGCATTGTGATTTTATAAGTATGAATCAGCTGGAAGGAGGCTTTTGGTTCAGCTACATGACAACTCATGTTTTGCGTGCCATAGGAAGAATAAGAGCTCTCTGCATTACATGGCCTAATCTTGTATAATCTGTGTAATTTAGATGCTTTTTGTGTAAGGGAGTACTTAAATTCTGGCTTTGGTTATTCAGAAGGATTCTGTGGACATTTTTGTCTTCTATTGTATCTGAATGAACAACTGACTTTATTAAAGAAGTACCCAGGTACTAAATCTGTGGAATAAAAAGAAATTTTTGGTTTAATCAGTTAAGTTGCCTTTTTTCTTATCGGCCCATAAATGTACTGCAATGTTTAGGAAAAGATTTGCAGCCATCTGAATTATAATTTTTTTGTCAAGTAATTGTAATGAACGTTAGAGCATCGTCTGAAGCAGCTAATTTGCTTCATTGTCTAACTACAGCCACCTCCTTCACCAATTTAACAACAGAAAAGAGCATGCACAGGAGAAAGGAAAAGGGAAACACTACATTTAGCAACTGTTGCTTTCTGAATACAAAATTTAAAACTTTTTTTTTTTTCATACAGAGATTACTTGCCTTTTCTTGAAGTTGTATCTCTGCTCAAAGCAGGAGAGCAATATCAAGAAATCTATGCAAGTATGTTAAAAAGAAGAAAAAGAAAGATTTTACCCCATTCTAACAGTGTTACCTGAAAAAGCTTATCTATGAATGTTGTACTTGACATCAGTTAGGATATAATCCAAGTTCCCAGTGCAGCTGACTAGGGAAAATGGGCATTCAGGGTTCTTCAGGCTCAGTTGTTTTCACTTTGAATTTGCTTTTCACTTCCGATGCTGAATATTCTCAGAACACACAAATGCAAAACCAACTGATGGTGCCTTCAACAGAAATGAACAAAAAAAATGAAGCCAAACCTCTTCAGGTTAAGCTGTCAGCAGCAGTGCACTGGAAGCAAATAGCTACTTTATCACTCAGATAAAGAACAGAGTTGCACGTAATGCAGGAAAGACATTTTTAAATACTTATTTGCCAAACTTAAATACTCCATGCAAGATTGCATGTGTGTGCGCACACATGAACATACACTTATATGTTTTAAAGCTTCAGTTGGAAAGTTTTGTAAAGTTTGGGTTCGTTTCTGAGTTGGTGTCAAACCTTTCTTTTTCTCATCTGTTTCTCCTTCTCTCTCATTACATGCTTTTCTTATGTTCCTTCATTTGTACTTTCTCTGTAGTCCAGCAGAATTAGTTTATACGTGTTTTCAGTTTATTCTGTGTGGAATTGTAAAATTGTTTGTATGGTATATTGACTTTACATAAATCTAGAATGTGCCTTTCTCTAATTTAACATATGTGACTGTTTTTGGTGCCTCAGACTGAGAGGTGATAGCATGGGTTTTCAGATTATGGATTCTTTTGAGGTTAGGACTTCTATTTTCAGATACTGTTACTAAATTGCTTACTTCATTCAGCAATAGGCTCTCATTTTCTTGTTCAGCCTTTCACAATTAATGTCCTAGCAGAAGCTGCTCTTGTTGCCCTCAGGATTCTTTGCAAGTGTCAATTCAAGGTGAGCTTTGGCTTTCCTGACACCATCTCTACGTGCCTGTTCAGTGTGTCTAAACTCCTCCTATGTAGCCTGTCCCTGTTTGTACCCCTCCGTGTACTGCTGCTCTTGCATTGGAGCTCTGGCAATCTGCTTTGCCAAGCTGGTCTCCTGATACTTATATTTTTGAGTAGACCTGCCAGCTTTCCTGAGCTGCTTTGGTCCTCAGAGCTGCTTCCCATGGCCACCTACCATTTCCTTCAATAAGCTGAAGTCTGCTCTCCCAAAATTCTAGGTCTGTGTTCTACTGTTTGCCTTTTTCATTCCACTCGGGATCTTGAACTGCACTAGTTGATGGTTGCTACAGCCAAATCTGCCTTTGATTTGTCACATCTCCAACCAGTTCTTTATGGTTGGAGAACAGGTGTATGCCACCAATGTTGGCCCATGCAGTATGTATATCAAGAAGTTGTCCTTGATATCCTCCAAAAATTACCTGGGTTGCTCGTGCTCTGCTTTGTTGTACTTCCAGTGGATGTCAGGGAGGTTAAGGTCTCTTGTAAGAACCAGGGGTTGTGGTGCAGTGACTTCTCTGAGTTGTAGAGAAGGCTTCGTCTGGTTCCCCATTCTTATCAGGTGGTTCTGTAACTGATACTGTCACCACAGTGTCATCCTTGCTGGTGGCTCTGCTGGTCCTGACCTGCAAGCTGTCTGAGGCTTCCCTGCACCCGTTAGGTCTGGGAGGCAGAAATAAAATGTTATTAGTGCTTAAACTGGGTGAATTAATACAGAACAGAGATGGCTGGATTGAAAATGGAACATCAGTGGAAAAATCTTTAGGCTTGATCAAATGTTAATGAAAAAGTTGCTTTTTTCAATACATTGTTTGGCATTGGTTTCAGCCCTGTGTATGGCTCGGTGGATAGTGTTTTTTACTCTGTAGGCTTTTGTTTGTAAGTTGTAATCAACTTTGTTATTGAAGGCAGAATGTCTTGTTACATTCTACTAAAACTTTATTCACCTCATTGAATTTCATTGTGTTAAAAGTTTCAGTGTGGTGTTTGTTTTCTTGTGAACTTCTGTGTCTATTTCCGTGGTAAGCTAAAAAAGAGCTGTTTTAAATACAGCTTCCACTGTATCTTACTGAGATTTTTCTTGTCTTTATGAGTTGATGCATTATTATTGTATGGGGATTCTGAGGCACAGGGAGGTGTTCCTGTTTCCAGACTGTAGTTAACAGTACAATAGTCATTAAATGGATAGTCTGGATGTCTTTAATTCTGTGATTATTCTTGTCCACAGACTTACAGGGTGAGGTTGTTACTCAGTACAGTTTGCTTAGTTTGCCTTTTGACAAGAAAGATGTGAGCGTCACTGTTTTGTTCTCTGCTTCATTTGGCCACCTGACGGGCAAAATGCTTCTGCCTTGTAGAAGGGACATCATGCTCATCCCAGGATGCTTCCTTAAACCTGCCTGTTGCTTGTATGTAGCGCATGTACTAAGTTGTGGGTATATGTAGATGCTCTATATACTTGATCTTGAGCTTTTTCGTATGCAGCCACCTGAGGATACTGAAGTTAGGGTAGACCTGACAGGCTATACTCTTGGAAAAAGTAATAAGATTTTTAAATACGTGAACAGAATATGGAAAGGAGCTATCAGCAGAATAATTCTGATTATAGACAGTTATGAAATATGAAATCTGCTGCCAGTTCTTGAAGACATTTGAGGAAGCCTCAGCCTTTTCTTTCCGTGTTAATGGATTTATCCCATCCCATGGCCCCTGCAGAGTTTGTTTCTCAACCCTCATTGTCTTTCCATATTTTTACTTGTCTATTAGATTACTCTAGTTTCTTTTTTACCTCAGTTGCCTTTTGTATTATTTTCCTTGCTTTATTCTCCCTTTATCTCCACATGTCTTTAATATTTAGAATCAATACAGTGGTTTCCTGTCCACTAGCTCTGACTTGGATCCATTTTGGTTTGACTTTTCTAAACTTCTACTCTAAAAAAGCTTCTTATTATTGTGATTAATGATCTCTCTCTGACCAAACTCCAAGGTTTGTTCAGTATCCTCATCTGCCTTAGTATCTGTCACGTTGCAATTTCTCGGGACAGCGACTTGGATTTGCTGATTCCCAGGTCAGGATTAAGGTGAAACAACACCAGGAATTCTTCAGTTAAAAAAACCCTTGACTTTTATTTGTTCACAACAGATACTGGCATGAAACTTTGTCAGTAAGCCTTGCAACCTCTGCAACAACCAGTAAACCCCACAACTTACACCTACAAGCCACAAATCTTAAACATACACAGGCATGCCACAAAGTAAACGTGTCCTGACAAGACATAAAACATGTCCGGACAAGCCTGGCTGTATATGCATGGGTTATAGGGATAGAGAATGGGAGAGAAAATAAGAGAGAAAGAGGAGAAATGGGTGAGAGGAGTGGAGAGATACCAAAAGGAAAGATTTGACCAGTTCCCATTCCGGTGTTGGTCCAGCCCGCCTAAAGGTCCAGTTCTAGAGGGATGCTGCCACGTGGGGCTTCAATTTGCATCCTTTTAGAATCCCTTGTTCTTCTTCTGGGTGGGCACTTGGACTTATTAGGCTAATTGTCATGTGCAGTCTATGCTTCTAGAGTTCTCTTGGTTTTGGTTCATGCTGTAGTTTGTACCTTCAGAGTCTTCTGGAAATGGGTTGGTGGGCTTGGGGGTCGTTGGAGAGTTACTTCCCCCTCCCTGCAGGTATGACCGGTGTCTGACCTTTCTTCGCAGTGCATATGTCATGAAAATGGCTTCTCGATTTGAAAATGGCTCTTTCCGGAGTTGCTCAAGATAGGGAAGTCCAGCCTCAGAAAAGTGCGGTCCCACCTGCGTGGGACCCTCTCTTCTTACCGCATCCCTCCCATCATTACACGGGACAGCCCTGGCATTTCCATGGAGACCGTTTCCTTTACCAAAGTTCTCTACTGGATGTTTGAGACAGTAACTGTGATGTCGTTGGACCACCACAATCATTCCTTCTTTTTTGTCATGTTGTTTTTGTTATGTATTAGTGATTTTGTTCTTCTAGGTTTTATCTAGTCTGTTTTATTTTTTGGAGGATGGGTGATACTTGCAGCTTTATGTTTTATCTCTAAGTATTTATTATATGTGTGGCCTGAAAAATATTTTACCACTACTAATCTGTCTTTTGTACTGTTCCACATCTCAAATTCACTGAACTTGCTTGAAGCCTTGTATTCTAAATAAAGAATTCTGCTGTGATTTTAAGTTTTAATAATTTTCAGCTGTGATTTTAAGTTTTAATAATTTTCAGCTATTTCCATTGTTCATTTTTTCAGTCTGAGGCAGATGGATTATTTCATTTTTCTTCCTTCTGGGTATCTCAAATCCAGACCATTTTCAAGCTCTTGTTTTCATTTTTTGGTACTTCCAGCACTCATAGGTTTTTTCAACACAGATAGGCCTGAAAAACAGATCTATACTCCTATCCCACTGAGATTATTGTAAATGTTATCTTTCTCTTATGAAACACTGCTGTATAAGGTGCTGCTATAGAAGCCTTCCTTTAAACCATTTAATTTCTGTCTTATCAAATTTAAGTAGCCTTGAAGTCCCCTCTAAAAATTCAGAATCTTCAAAACAAATAAAACCCCACGCTTATCTTCTGTGGTTAAACTTAATACTCCTGGTTACTCTAGTTAATGCTCAAAATGGCACCTCCTTGCTTATCAGATGTTCATATAATTATTTCTGTGTTGTTCTGCATACTAGTAGAAACATACCTTGTCAGATCATTCCCATAAAAGTACCCGTCATGTTTGTATTAATGAAGTCCTAAAGCATTTGGTTCTCCTGTGTGGTCTGTGGTGAACTGATTGTTTATATTTTGGTTTTCTCCTTTCCTTGCTTGGCGTTTTCTGCTGCTATTAACTTGTACTGACTGACTAACTTGAAACTTTTAAGTACACAGCCAGGGCATGATTGCTATTGCATGTGCAAAAGAAATGCATAAAGGCCATAGCGGTTTTCCTCCAGAAGTTTCCCCCACAGCAGGGAAGGCAGCATCAGATGCATTTGAGGATAGACAGTGGTTCCTCCTCTTCTCCCAGCCAAGAAGAAAGGAAGAAAGTGAAGGAGGAGGAAAAATCAGTTTAAGGTGTTGTCAGAAGGAAGATGAAGTGGGATGAATTTAGGGTGATAGTTGAGTGGTGGGGTTGGTCTGCAGGTTCTTCTGCCCCAGTGAGCTCTCTTTTCCTTTCTGAGTGTTTCATCTTTAGGTTTCACACTCCATCACGTGCACACAGAAAAAAACCCTTACCTATCCCTCTAACTAAAGCACACAGAGGAGTTTGTCACCTGGTGCACTTAATTATTGTTAATATTTCATCAATATTTATAAAATTGTGGTGAGCTTCCTAAGGCAACAGAAGGCATCTTCTAAAGGTTAATATGCTGCTACTCTTCTTAATTTGGCTGGAGGGCACTAGTGAAGGCTGGTATGGGGTGAGTCCCTGTAGCACTTGAGTATCTCCAGTAATCCAGGGGCATGATGGTAGAGGTAACAGTTTCTGCACCACATTCAGGGGGACCAAGCTGAGATTTCTAGTTTTGGTAGAACTTGCTCTGAGTGCTCATGAGCTGCAGCATTTTCAGTTTGACCACTTGGCAGTTATGGTGGCGGAAAGTGGCCGGATACAAAACCTCAAAGTGTCTGTTGCTTGGCCAGAGGACAGTAATGCATCTTTTACATTTCATGCATTCGAGAGTGGGCCTGAGTGTGTGATCTGATAAATATGGGCTTAATGTTAAAAAGTCACAGTATTTGGTTGCATTAATGGTGATAAGGGAGCAGTGGGGGGAACAAATATGAAGTGTGACTTGGGTTAAATACTGCCCTTTTATAGTGTGTGATGCTCGGAAGGATTCTGTTGTCTAGGTAACAGGGTCTGTACTTCATTTCTTAGGAAAGATGGAACAGATGTTCTTGCAAGAAGCAACCAATTATCACCAGTGAGAATATTGGCAGTATTTAAACTAATTGCTCTGTTGTTACATACAGGCCAATTCATATGCTATGAATAGTAAAGAAAATGTAAAGGAAGGAATCTTCCTTGCGTGGCTTTTCCTGAATGAGGTTTTAAAAAAATATTTGAGGTTTATAATGTAGCACTTATCAGTGTGTCTTTTCACACTCACATTTATCATTGTCTTTTCTTCAATATCATTCAGTCTTTATTTGATTTGGTATTTGTAACGTGTCTTTCATGATTGTTGAGTCCCGTTGCTCTAGCAAATTTGTGTCATGTCACGTTATTTTATTGTGTTCATTTAAAATACCTAAAAATCCAAAGGCAGTGGGATAAAAAGATGCTCACAGTAGAATAAGAGACAGAGGGACCTTTCTAAGTCATGTAAAGATGTTCAGAGATATTTTTTTTTTGGGGGGAGGGTGTCAAAATCCAGGCACAGCCACTCAAATAGGGACTGTGCCATAAAAAGCTGGGGCAAAATGGAAGCCATATAGACATGTATATACTTGAAACCCTGTTACGTGCTGCTTAGGTGGGGACATAGTGTATGTGTGGTAGTATAATCAGGTGGTGACAGTGGCAAGAAAGAGAGGAGAGCTGAAGGGGACAGTGTAGAACAAGGAGTGCCTGAGCTCTCTAACTGCAGCACTCATTGACAGTGTGCCTTATTTTTATGAAAGGTTTTGCTAAAGTAACTTCATGTATGAATTAAAGCTTTATCCATATGCAAAATAAATACTTTGTCTTCTTGGGAGATTACTGTAGTCTTTTTTACAACCTAGGATATGCTCTTGTCTTTTATAAGAGATTTGGGGGGAGGTATGTATGTAAACACATTTTCATAACCTTGGAATAAAATCTGATATTGGGTATTAAGTAAGAAGAGAGGGCATTGGGACCAGATTCTCAGTTTTGTGGGTCCTCAGCAAAGCTAAGCCATATCGTTATGCATTTTAACAAAACATCTGGCCCCTTGCCTGAACTTTTCCATGCTTCTTGCCAAATATAAATGTTCTATGTTTTTTAGGTAGGGCATTGCAAAAACATGTTTTCTGTCTTGGCAATAATACAATAAAGGAAGAATCCTTGACCTACTCTCTTTTTAGCGGCTCTGATAAAGGACGTGCTGTTTTGATTTTTATCTAACTGTGGAAAATGTCTTAATGAGTGGAAACAAAGTGCATGTTGCACTTCTTAGATTATTTGGCTGAGTTATCCTATTGTATAGTACTGACATGTTGATTGGGACAAAATGTCTTATTACATTCAGTTATTTCAATAACCATTGTAAAACATTCGCGGTCTGAGTAGGAAAAAAACCACTGTCTGTAGGGTTTTTTAATCCCTTTTACCAGGCTACTCGCATGTAACTTCTAATCTTTTGCTTGTCGTCCTTCCTCTGGCTCCTGGCTCTCTTTCTGTGAACTCTGCATTCATCCTCTGTAATTTAATGCAGATGATGCATCTGGTCGCTTAGCTGTATGTATTAGCTTGTGTTTGCCTCTTCAGTCAGGGACAACACTACCTAAACATTGTGTTCACTAGCAGAGCTGCTCTTTTGTTGTCCTTTCAAAGACTGTTGTCTCTAATTCCTCTTCTAAACCTTTTCTTTGTCGTCTAGTTTCTTTTCTGTATAGTGTCCTTCACATTCTGTTGCTTAGACTTCCTTATGATATCTGATGTGTAAGTATTCGTGACTTACCCTAGCCTCTTGTTCCTGCTTGCTTTTCTTCTGTTGATACACTCTGTGATTCTCCTCGCGTCTCCCTGTTCTGTCACAGCGTCTGTCAGCAGCAATATTTACTACTTTTGCTGCTTCTTTTGTATGCTAGAGTGCTTATAATAAAATTTTACAATTGGCTTCTGCAGATTTTTCACCTGCTTTCATGAGAGTCTTCTCCATTTTCACAGTTTAATTGTGTCACATATTGCCAGTCCCAGGTTCTTTTCACCACCCTTGACATACTCTTTCAGCCCTCCTCTTTTTCTGCCTTCCCTTTTCATACAAATCTGACTGATTTTTATTCCTGAAGACTATGCTGAAATGAAAAAAGAATTTGACAGGTACTATGTATTTTCCCATTTTATATCCTTGGAAAGAAAAGCTTCTTCCTTGTGACTCTTCTTTTCTCTGCAATGGTTGCATTCCCTTAAGCTTCATTTTCTCTTCTTTCTGACCTTCTGCTCACAACACAGACATTAGTCTGCTGTCTCAAGTAACCTCACTTTCACAGGAATTAATACTTAGGAGAAGAGGAGGGCACTTCTGCCAGAGGGTTGGTGGGCCTCTGGACTTTGTGCCAAGGTTAGGAGGGGTGTTTGCTGTGTTGGACACTTTTCTGTGCATCGCTTCCCCGTTGACATTTTCTGTATTTGCCCTTTGCTTTGCACTCCACTAGTCTTTTTGCCTCAGTCTTGTTTTTCCTACCTAGCTCATTCCTTTTTATACTTTGTCCCATTTCCCACTCCTTGCCTCACCAATGCTGTTCCTTCCCTCTTCAGCTTTGCTAGTGTCCCCTGCTTTTTTTTCCCCCGCCTCTTCTCTTCTTTTTCCACAGCCGGTCGCATCCCTCACCACTGATACACTATTGTACTCCATGTATCCTTCTGCCTCGGTCTAGTCTTTTTTACAGTGTCCTTCTCCGAGGTCTCCCGTGTCTCCTCACTGTTGATTCCAGCTCTGCCGTTCCTCCCGGTCCTGGTGTTGCTGAGCAGAGCAACCCGTAGGCTGCAGCCCGTGTCCCTCTGCTCCCGCTGGCCGCCGTGCTGGCTTCCTTCTCCCGGGGTGGTTCTCCGGGCTGACTCTTCCTTCACCTTCTTCCTACCTCTCCTCTTTCTGGAGTGAGTTGCATGTCTCTTGCCCCAGAAGAAGTCAGCCTTTTCCTCAGGAACTGAATTAAGCAGGGGAAAAATGAGGGAAACTTTCTCCTTATTTTTAGTGCCAGAGCTGCCTCCGATGCTTGTCATTTAACAGCTCTAAAGGTCTCATAAGTCCATTTCTACAGAGTATGCTCAAATAACGTCTATTTTCCCCAAGGGAGAGTGAAGCATCAGATGACAGTTTGATACAAAATTGCTTAGCCTGGTTTTGTTTCTTTGCTAACCTGTGCAGAAGTGCAAAATATCTCATAATACCGAGCAGCTTGTGTGCTAAAATTATGTTTGCGTCTGTCAGCGTTGAATTTTAATGTAGTGGAAATGGGAGAGAAACAACCCTAGCTAAATACAGGCAGTGGTGGCTTCTTGAATGATCATTATTCTGGTGCAGGTTGAGGGTAGAGGGAGAATTCCTTGAATATTCTTCTGGAAACAATCCCAATTTTTGGAGCAGCTAAAAAGCAAATTCAAAGTCACTAGAATGACTTTAAAGTAAATTACTGAAGTAAAGACCTGAGAGCAAACCAGACCTGGTCAGCCTCATAAATCCCTGCTGCATTCAGATGTTGAGTGCCTTTGTGCCACCTCAGAAAGGATACAGTAGTGCTAGAAAAGGTCAGGAGAAGGGGAGTCAACAATGCTGGTCATACAAAACCACTTCTGTATGAACAGAGACAAAACAGGCTGGGAACCTCTGAGCTGGAAGGAGGGGAAATCCATAAGAAGATGCGGGAGGTCTAAAACCAGACCTATATGGAAAAGTTATTTAGGTAATTGTTTTTCAGTGTTTATCAGAACAGAAGAACTAGGGCAACTGAAGGAAGATAGCTGATCTCTCCCCGATACAACTTGATTTTGAAACATAGCTCCCCCTCTTGTAGAAACCAGGGATTAGGACTAAGTTGGGGAGGAGGAACGTGGTTGGGGGCTAATCGAGCAAATGCACAAAACCAGTGAAGAGCCTCGGTTAAGTTCTCGAGTCCTTAATCTGGTGGCTGACTGTTTACACCAGGAAAGCCTTGTACTGTCTGTGCACTGCTCAGCGTGTTCTTTTCCTTGGTGCTTGCCTCAGCAGGGTAGTAAGCTGATTTAAAATGAATCTCGAGTACGGATCAAGTACAGCAGCTCTTACTTCTTTGAGTAGGAACATAAATCTATTGCATGTTTTGTTTACAGTGGTGTTCTTGTAAATGGCTAAATGGTTTATGTGAACAATCAGATGTTCACTAGTGCTCAGACTGGAAAATCTCAGCCCAAACAATTAGTTTGGCAAAGTTAAGAGCAACAAACATGCAGGAGGCTTGCTGTAGTCTCAGGGATTCTTAGTAGTGGTTGATGGCATAATTGTGTAAGAAATTTTCCTAAATTCTGAAAGATGTATTTCTTTTTCTCCAGGCAGTCTGAAGTTGCTATTCCAGAAGGAATATGCACATAAAGGAACTCTGTCATTTTGGCTGGGATTATAAAAATGTTGTTTTCTACTGCTAATTGCATGCTTAATGAGATATACCAGATCTGGAAGAGTTCTGTTGCAGGTCTTGAGAATGACATTCAGTTACTCATTTCTGCATAGTATCTGGGACAGTATCTGCACTCAGTTCTCAGGAAGAAAGTCTAATGTAAGTGTTCATGGTATGTTGCTTTCAGGGCCACATGGCTTTTGCTGCCTTGGGCAAAAAGTCTGTTCAGTACCCTTTTGCTTGCAGTAAAAGTTAGTTGAGAGGAAGGTTATAATCAGTGGAAGATGAAATGTCACGTGCCTAATCTCTCGTGGTGGTAAATATTAACCAGTTACTAGTTTCGACTAGTTACTATTTTCTTCATCTTATTACCTTACTGTTGTTTCAAAATCTCTCTTACAGAACTGATGTTGTTCTGAGTCCTTATGGGTTGCCATAAGAGCATATTTGCCACACCTTGCTTATATTTTTATCTCTTTGCTCACCAAATTCTGTGAATTATATTAAGCCACCTTTTGAGCCTTCCCAAACCATATTGGTCCTTACTGGGGGAAATACTGGTTTTGCTGCGTTCATTGCTTAATTGAAGAATTTTTCATATTTAATGGAAGAACGAGGAAATAATAGGCTTTAGATTACAAACTGACTTTTTTATCCAGTTGTAGTCTGATCCTGAGAGTATGAGAGGAATCTTGTGGTAGGCGTTTAATGACTTGGGAGGCCGCCAATGAGCATCTTGTTTTAGCTTGTTTCACGCATTAGATTTGTCTAACGTGTGGCTAAAAAGATTGCAGAAAATTTGGGTAAAAAGTAAAAACCTATGAGCAAAAGCAGAATAAATTTAACAGGTAATTGTGTTAATAAACACTAAGAATGTTCTAGCCTTGTGCTTCCAGAATGAAATGCTGAATTTGTTGTAAATAACTGTCAACAGACTAATTACTTTTATAGCTCTTGAGTAAAAGCTCTAAAATAATAATAATATTATTAAATTGATCTTATCCTGAAACAGTAAACAAGAAACCTGATTGTAAAACTATGTGCAAAACTTTTGCCTTTTTAAACAGACCCAAGTTAATGAAAAGGAAGGCTAATAACCAAAAAATAATCGCATTCTCTCCTCCAGTCTGCAGGCGTGTTTCTCACTTGGAGTATGGAGTTAGACTCAATTTATACTTGCAACTATAGGTTCGTCTGTTAGCTTGTTTAACTAGAGGTAAGACATTAAAGCAGATCAGCTGAAATACATCAAACTTTAATGAATGC